CTGAGGTTTTATTTTTAGCGGAGTCGTGTGATCCCGTCCTCAGGTGCCGTGCGCCTAACGTCCCCCGAGCCGCCGCCTGTGTCGTCGCCTCCGGACTCGGGAGAGGAGAACCCGTCCACCTGGCCGACTGCTCTTCCTGAGGAGCCGGGTTCGACGGGACATTTGCATATTCCCCCCGGGACCTCCAGGGAGAGTGAGCCCACCTCTCATGGGGGCCCGGCCACACAGACTCGATCAAAGACTCTTCGGTTTTCGTGATCCCCATACACACACTCTCCCACACCGTCAGTTGGTTGTCACGCTTGACAGGACGTATCGGTCATTGGCTGAATCTGGCCTTCATTGTGCTTGCGAGTGTTGTTACACGGTGAGGGTGGGAGATGTTGATGATGGAGGGGGTTCCGAGCGTTGGCGTTTAACTGCGTTTTGGGTTTTTTCATGGTTCTTGTTCTGTGCTTCCACCATTTTTCCCGTTCGTTACTGTACATTTGTAGATAGTGTATGTATTGTATAGGTGGGCTTGGCTATTTATTTGTTATTTGTTATTGTTGGGGCACACATAGGGGTTTTACTCGCTTTGTTCACTTTATATTGCTTGTCACCTTGTTCGTTTTAAAAGGGGGAGTTGGCAGCCGGGATGGCTGAGTCCTAGGAAGGGGGGGTGGGGGGGTGTAGTGACATCACGGATGTCACTGTGTAATGCCGGCCCTAGAGAGGCACGGCGTGCGATGCACTCACATCGCGGACACCACGTGTGTGTGGGTGCAGTACCGGCCCTAGAGGGGCTCGGAAAGCACTGACTGACAGCGCTGGATGGCACCACGCTCTGCGTGTAGTGCCGACCCCTATAGGATAGGGTGTGAGAGTGTCGGCCACAGGGAATGGGGTTACTATAGACCGTGGCACTCTGGTTGACCCCAGAGGACACGTGACCGGTAAAGTCTACACAGGGCTCCCAAGTGGGGGCTAGGGGTGGTCACGTGACAGGGTCGAGATCCTGCTCGAGGATTCTCGAAGGTGGTCGTGGCTAAGGGCGGAGCCAGCCACGCCACAGAGGATATAAGTCGGGTCCCCGAGAGGGACCGGCTGCTGTTGTTCATCCTGAATAATCTACGTTCTACGTCCTACATGTCCTTTGGATTGCACTCTCATGCTCACATGTCCTTTGGATTGCACTCTCATGCTCACATGTCCTTTGGATTGCACTCTCAATCTCACATGTTCTTTGGATTGCACTCTCCGTGGATGGAATTCCTTTCCAGCTCAGACCCCTCTTGCTTGCCCATCGCCACATATATGCTGTTTTGTTGTAGCTGCTCTCTCGCTGGTTCAGCAGTTCCACTGCTGGATTATATTTTTCCGCCTGAGGACGACCGCTTGTGTTGCGATCGAAACGTCGTGATTTATTTTATGTTATGCCTACGTGACTTTACCGAAAGAACCAAAGAGTATGGATGCCTGCAGTCACGAAAGCTTCAAATCAAGACTCTACGAGTCTATTTGGGTCTCTGTGTTTCTCTATGAGTCTCTTTGGGTCTCTACGAGTCTCTATGTTTCTCTACGAGTCTATTGGGTCTCTATGTATCTCTGTGAGTCTCTACGAGTCTATGTTTCTCTACGAGTCTATTTGGGTCTCTGTGTATTTTTGTGAGTCGCTATGTATCTCTACGAGTCTATTTGGGTCTCTATGAGTCTCTATGTATCTTTGTGAGTCTCTATGTATCTCTACGAGTCTATTTGGGTCTCTATGTATCTCTGTGAGTCTCTACGAGTCTCTATGTATCACTACGAGTATCTATGTATCTCTGTGAGTCTCTATGTATCTCTACGAGTCTCTATGTATCTCTACGAGTCTATTTGGGTCTCTATGAGTCTCTATGTATCTCTGTGAGTCTCTATGTATCTCTACGAGTCTATTTGGGTCTCTGTGAGTCTCTACGAGTCTATGTTTCTCTACGAGTCTATTTGGGTATCTGTGCATTTTTGTGAGTCTCTATGTATCTCTACGAGTCTATTTGGGTCTCTATGAGTCTCTATGTATCTCTGTGAGCCTCTATGTATCTCTACGAGTCTCTATGTATCTCTACGAGTCTATTTGGGTCTCTATGAGCCTCTATGTATCTCTGTGAGTCTCTATGCATCTCTACGAGTCTATTTGGGTCTCTATGAGTCTCTATGTATCTCTGTGAGTTTCTATGTATATCTACGAGTCTATATGTATCTCTACGAGTCTATGTGGGTCTCTATGAGTCTCTATTATCTCTGTGAGTCTCTATGAGTCTCTATGAGTCTATTTCGGTCTCTATGAGTCTCTATGAATCTCTGTGAGTCTCTATGTATCTCTACGAGTCTATTTGGGTCTCTATGAGTCTTTATGAGTCTATGTGGGTCTGTATGTACCTCTACGAGTCTCTATTTATCTCTACGAGTCTCTATGTATCTCTATGAGTCTATTTGGGTCTCTTTGAGTCTCTATGTATCTCTGTGAGTCTCTATGTATCTCTACGAGTCTATTTGGGTCTCTGTGTATCTCTGTGAGTCTCTATGAGTCTCTATGTATCTCTGTGAGTCTCTACGAGTCTCTATCTATCTCTACGAGTCTCTATGTATCTCTATGAGTCTATTTGGGTCTCTATGAGTCTCTATGAGTCTCTATGAGTCTATTTGGGTCTGTATGTATCTCTACGAGTCTCTATTTATCTCTACGAGTCTCTATTTATCTCTACGAGTCTCTATGTATCTCTACGAGTCTATTTGGGTCTCTATGAGTCTCTATGTATCACTGTGAGTCTCTATGTATCTCTACGAGCCTATTTGGGTCTCTATGAGTCTCTATGTATCTCTGTGAGTCTCTACGAGTCTCTATGTATCTCTACGATTCTCTATGTATCTCTATGAGTCTATTTTGGTCTCTATGTATCTCTATGAGTCTCTGTGAGTCTCTATGAATCTCTATGTATCTCTACGAGCCTATTTGGGTATCTGTGTATCTCTGTGAGTCTCTATGTATCTCTACGAGTCTATTTGGGTCTCTATGAGTCTCTATGTATCTCTGTGAGTCTCTATGTATCTCTACGAGTCTATTTGGGTATCTATGTATCTCTATGTATCTCTGTGAGTCTCTACGAGTCTCTGTGTATCTCTGCGAGTCTATTGGGGTCTCTATTAGTCTCTATGTATCTCTGTGAGTCTCTATGTATCTTTACAAGTCTAATTGGGTCTCTACGAGTCTCTATGTATCTCTGTGAGTCTCTACGAGTCTCTATGTATCTCTGTGAGTCTCTGTGTATCTCTGTGGGTCTCTATGTATCTCTGTGAGTCTCAATATATCTCTACGAGTTTATTTGGGTCTCTATGAGTCTCTATGTATCTCTGTGAGTCTCTACGAGTCTCTATGTATCTCTATGAGTCTATTTGGGTCTCTACGAGTCTCTATGTATCTCTGTGAGTCTCTACGAGTTTCTATGTATCTCTGTGAGTCTCTACCAGTCTCTATGTATCTCTACGAGTCTATTTGGGTCTCTATGAGTCTCTATGTATCTCTGTGAATCTCTATGTATCTCTACGAGTCTATTTGGGTCTCTATGTATCTCTACGAGTCTCTATGTATCTCTGTAAGTCTCTATGTATCTCTACGAGTCTATTTGGGTCTCTATGAGTCTATATGTATCTCTATGAGTCTCTATGTATCTCTACGAGTCTATTTGGGTCTCTACGAGTCTCTATGTATCTCTGTGCGTCTCTACGAGTTTCTATGTATCTTTGTGAGTCTCTACCAGTCTCTATGTATCTCTGTGAGTCTCTGTGTATCTCTGTGGGTCTCTATGTATATCTACGAGTCTATTTGGGTCTCTATGTATCTCTATGTATCTCTCTGAGTTTCTATGTATCTCTACGAGTCTATTTGGGTCTCTATGTATCTATGTGAGTCTCTCTGTATCTCGGTGAGTCTCTATGTATCTCTACGAGCCTATTTGGGTCTCTATGTATCTCTACGAGTCTCTGTGTATCTCTGTGTATCTCTGTGAGTCTCTGTATCTCTGTGTATCTCTGTGAGTCTCTATGTATCTCTGTGAGTTTCTATGTATCTCTACGAGTCTATTTGGGTCTCTATGTATCTCTATGTATCTCTGTGTATCTCTGTGAGTCTCTATGTATCTCTGTGAGTCTCTATGTATCTCTACGATTCTATTTGGGTCTCTATGTATCTCTATGTATCTCTGTGTATCTCTGTGAGTCTCTATGTATCTCTGTGAGTTTCTATGTATCTCTACGAGTCTATTTGGGTCTCTATGTATCTCTATGTATCTCTGTGTATCTCTGTGAGTCTCTATGTATCTCTGTGAGTCTCTATGTATCTCTACGATTCTATTTGGGTCTCTATGTATCTCTATGTGTCTCTGTATATCTCTGTGAGTCTCTATGTATCTCTGTGAGTTTCTATGTATCTCTACGAGTCTATTTGGGTCTCTATGTATCTCTATGTATCTCTGTGTATCTCTGTGTATCTCTGTGAGTCTCTATGTATCTCTGTGAGTCTCTATGCATCTCTACGAGTCTATTTGGGTCTCTATGTATCTCTATGAGTCTGTATCTCTGTGTATCTTTGTGAGTCTCTATGTATCTCTACGAGTCTATTTGGGCCTCTATGTATCTCTATGTATCTACATGAGTTTCTACGAGTCTCTATGTATCTCTACGAGTCTATTTGGGTCTCTATCTCTATGAGTCTCTGTGTATCTCTGTGTGTCTCTGTGAGTCTCTGTGTGTCTCTGTGAGTCTCTGTGTATCTCTGTGTAGCTTTGTGAGTCTCTATGTATCTCTACGAGTCTATTTGGGTCTCTATGTATCTCTACGAGTCTCTGTGTATCTCTGTGGCTTGCATGGCCACAATGGCACCGACTCTCATGGATGGGGGGAGCTGTCGTTTAGTTTTGGCTGGGTCACCGAAACCCCAGCGCCTTTCGTTGAGCGGGGCGTGGGTGGTCGTCGGGAGGGGGGTGGTGCGCCTTTAAGGCCGCGCGGTGCGTGCCGGGATGCGGTTGCCACGTTGCCTAGGGCCCAGCTGACGGGGTCGCCCCTCGTCACCTCCTCCTCTTCCTCCTCATCACCACCACCATCGTCCTCCTCCTCGTCGTCGTCGCTGTGGATGAACTGACGAGCGGGCAGGGAGTCTCTCCTCCGTGCGGGTGAGTGACTCCGCCCGCCCTGCCGGTAGTGGGGAGAGAGACGGCGGAGAGGGATCCCCTTTGGCCGCAAGGCCCTCTCTGGGCAAGGCCCCGCTCGTCGGGGAAGTGGCGGCGATGTTTATCTAAATCAAGTTTAAACGACGACAATAACAATAATAGTATTTTAACTTGTAAAGGGTCGTCATTATTGTGGGCGCCGGTGACGCCTAGATGCGTGACAGCGTTTGGTGAGCAGTCGCGGCACGTTGTGGTGTAACTTCATCCAGCAGTGGATTGGTCGTGGCTGATGGTTATTGATGGCTGGCGGGGTTGTTACATTCGTGGCATCCTGTGGATGGACTGTCCACCGTCATAGGAACGTAGAGTGCCTGCCAACCAGGACTGCCGAGGAAGATTTGAGAGTGGTGTGGGCGATTCGAGAGCGGAGTGGCTGATTTGAACAACGACTACAGCAGCTGAGTTGTGCGACTTTTCGCCTGTCACAAGTGGCGGTGCTCCGGATGGACTTATCCCCGCCATGAGATTGTGGAAGCTTTACCACACTGGATCAATGCAGCCCAGTGAGGATGAACACCGGCCAAAGGCCATTCATAGATAGACTTCGACTTCATCGTGTTCATTATTGATGTCGGTACAAATGAAATGGGTATGAATGTGGTCCTCATGGAAAGAACGATGTTTTGTTAAGGAAACGGATTTACCGAGGCACCCTGCTCCTGAATTGCCCCGCTGTTTCGGGGACACTGCTCTGTATTGTTAATATTTCGCCACGGCGGCGAGATGTTAACTACATCGCCAGGTATACAGAAGGTCGCGTCGTGGTTTCGATCCCGACCCTGACGCCTGTATACTCGGAGCTTGCATGCTTCTCTCTTCGTGATGGCGTGGATTTTTCTCCGGTTTTCCACCCTCCACATTTGGAATGGGCATCATGCGTTTCGAGTATGTGGCTGCTGTACATGTCCACGTGATGAGAAGCTAATTTGTTGAGCTATCTATTGTGGCCAGGTCGCTCCTGAAAATGAGATGCATAGTTCAGTAGGGCCTTACCTGGTAAAATAAACCTACATTGTGGGGATCATAAAAAAGATCTCCAAAATCTTGAATAAACACAAGATCCAGGTCCGATTCAACACATTACATAAAATCCGTGATCTGGTTCCGTCTGTAAAAGATGTGATTCCGGACATACAGTACCCTGGCGTCTACAAACTAAGTTGCCTCTGTGGTAGTAGTTACATTGGAGAAATCAAACGCCATGTCTCGGACCGCATTCGTGAACACAAAGCAGACCTTAAACACGGTAGGACCAACACCTCGGCCGTGGCAGATCATTGTTATAATTCAGTAGGCTCACATGACATTGACTTCTCCAAGGCAGAGGTTCTTTGCAAGCCATCTGGCTACCATGAGAGATTCGTTCATGAGGCTATCCACATATACAAACACAGAGACAATTTCAACCGAGAAGATGGATTCTGGCTTAGCAATCATTGGAAGGATTTGATAAACCATTTCGGGTCTTAATTGATTGATCACATTTAAGGTGGCTTTCAGACCGCATCCATTATTTTTCGTCTCCCCCCTCCTCTTTTCGGAACATAGATGGACTCGTCCATCTGAATAACTGTCAAATCGCTCTCCGTGGTGCTAATGTAAAAAAACGCTACTTTTTTCAAATTTTCTTGATGTGGTTTTCACACCTGATGATGATTGCTTGTGTTGCAGTCGAAACGTCGTGATAATTTTATTGTTTTCTATTTTTATTATTTTATTGTTTCCCTTATATGCGACTTTACCGAAAAAAAAACAATAATATGAATCCCTGCAGTCACGAAAGCTTTAAATAAAAAAAATAAACATTTTTTAGTTTTAGTGTATTGCATTAACAACGCACGTGTTAGTTTAAATAGATACTTTTTTACTTTGTTCAAATATTGCTGAATGCAGTGAGTTTTTTTTTGTTACAGATATTTATTTTATAAATCTGTTTTCATGAAGCCAAGACTCTACGTTATTGGTATTGCATTGCTCCTGTCACTATGAACTATGAATTGGGTATTACGATTACCTTTATGCAATGTAACACTCCTGTTACTGTGCTTTGCAGCGCTGTTTCATTATCGTGGGTGTAATTATAGTAGTTATTGCAGTACTGTTTAATTAATAGTACAGGTCACTTACACTCACGAGACACGGACATGTGGTTTCCAAAGTGCGAATTGCGGTGAGTGATTTTAACTTTACCTAAAGGCGTAGTTTTAAATACCTGAACAGGAGTACCATTTTTATTTCACCCACGTGTAACTTGGTATATGATTTGCACTCATGAAAAAACTGCTTTTGTGCAATTGGACCCGGTATATTTGTACAGCTGTTCCTAACCCTTGTAACTTTACCATTCAATACATCCTTAACTATAACCAACGAAATAACTAACACCTTTCACAACTGTTCCAAACTTCAAACCTACCCTTAACACTAGTCCTAATTGGAGTGTGAATTCCTTGCTGTGGTATGCGTGTGCATTTTTCTCCGTTCGGCTTTCCAGCAGTTGTGTGTGCTGACGTGGTCTGTTGGAAGCGGACCCTGGCAGTGCAGCTCAATGAATTCCGTACAACTGATTGTCAAGGCAATACCATTTGGACTTTTATACCAATGCATCAGCATTGCTGTATATTTCAAGAGGCGACTGTTACGGCAGTCGTCTTGGTTAACACACGATCCCTTGTATTTATCTATGTTGAACTTATTCTTAGTTTTTTCCGTAAAGTCACGTTGAAGAGAAACAACAAAAGAACAAAATATATATAAAACAATAAAAATTCGTGAGAATTTTTTATTGTTCGTGAGAATTTTTTATTGTTTTATATATATTTTGTTCTTTTGTTGTTTCTCTTCAACGTGACTTTACCGAAAAAACTAAGAATATGAATTACTGCAGTCACGAAAGCTTTAAATCAAAATATGTTGAACTTCTTTCGCACCGTACGTAGACAATGGCACTAATCGGAGGTGTGGGGAAGGATGACAAACTATGCACAGAAAAAAACAAGTTCTAAAGAAAGTAGATTAAAATTCGTGAGAATTTTTTATTGTTCGTGAGAATTTTTTATTGTTTTATATATATTTTGTTCTTTTGTTGTTTCTCTTCAACGTGACTTTACCGAAAAAACTAAGAATATGAATTACTGCAGTCACGAAAGCTTTAAATCAAAATATGTTGAACTTCTTTCGCACCGTACGTAGACAATGGCACTAATCGGAGGTGTGGGGAAGGATGACAAACTATGCACAGAAAAAAACAAGTTCTAAAGAAAGTAGATTAAAATTTAGATTTAAAAGTGCAAAGCTCCAGTGGCTTCCTAATGTCGGATTTAACTCTCCAGATTTAAAATGAGAAAAAGTTAAATGGAAATGTACGGGAAAAGTAGGCATTCAGCGAGTGGTGGTTTAATTAGGCATATATGCACGCTTACAAAGGGTGGAATATTAAGCATACAATAATAATTTCAGCTTGTCACGTGCAGTGTATTCGCTCGCTCAGGAAGACAGAGAACGTCTCCGCGCCTGGTATACGGGAGGGCGTGAGTTCGATCCTGACCCTGATGCATGCTTTCCCCATGGCCGCGTGGCTTTTTCTCTGGGTTCTCCCGTGTTCCCCTCCACATTTAGAAACATGCGTTTACAACATTTCGCTTGCTATAAATGTTCACATGTTAAGCCACTTGGTTGAGCTATCATGTGTGGCCGGGTCGCTCCTGAATAGAGATGTATAGTTCAGGGGGCCTTATCTGGTAAAATAAAAGTAGTTCGTTTTAGGCTAGATTTTAAGGCACAAGGAACCACAGACAAGCAGGAAGGCAGCAGCCAAGTAGAGAAACATTAACACATGCCCCCAAGCTCTGCGTTTTTCTACATATTAAGGTGTTGATCAGCCAAATCATTGCATGTTTAAATGTGAAATAAAATGCATGTATGCGAGGGGGCGACACTCTATGCAGATGGAATCGGTGAGGTTCACATTTCCTGTACTGCCTTCTCCTGGGAAGCCAGGCACCTCGATGCTCATGGGAAGGGGGTTTGATGTGATCCACAAATCATCATCTCCACAGTGCTGGGTTACAGGTGTGCGCCACCACTCCTCTACATAAAGGATGTGCTGGTTTTTGATTTTCGCTTTACTGAGGAAGTAATAATATCAATTGGTGATCGTAGAGAATGAGTCGTAGTCTTGGCGGAGGGGCAGTAGAGGAGAAGCAGAGACCTGGGCTAAAGTGGAGATTTGAAGGAAGACATTGGTATATGGAGCCAAAGAGTCTGTGTGTGAAGGCTGTCAAAGTCGGCAAAGACGTCCGTTTTTATTCCGTATACACATACATGATTATTTTGTCCTGTAGAATAACTGGGTCATACCATAGCAATGTGGACTATCTACAGTAATTCATATTTGTAGCTCTTTCGGTAAAGTCACGTTGAAGGGAAACAATAAAATAATAAAATATATTTTATAAGAGCTAAGGATATATCTACCACTGGTTCAAGGATGCTATTAGGAGGTGAACACTTCCTATTGTCTGTTTGAGTAGGGGAACACACTCACCTGTACTGTAAACATGCACACACATGTGCCACTAATGATGAAATGTCATTCTGTTTTGTTGGAAAGTAATATATTCACTGTTGACTACAACTGAGTTGAAGGAATCACTGGGTACAGCCGTGACCTGTAGGGTCATTATAATTATATGTCTATGTATACGCACTGGAAAGACTTGCTGTGAAATGGCATGGTCCACGTACTCCACCCCAAGACCTCACCTCCCGAGCGGTGAATCACAGATCCGGGTTTTCTCGCAAGCTGGCGTGAGCACACCCAGTGTTTTTTAAAAGTGGCGTTTTGTAATGCACCCCATGAAAAGTTTCCCTCTTCACCTGAACGTGTACAGCATAGGCAGTTAGACACATCTATCAATGGACAACACATTATTTTATATACACTGATGTACTTTTACGTGTTTATTTTAATATATTTGTTCATCTATGTTATCCGTTTAAGTTTTTTATGCACCTTAAATATTTCCGTAAAATCAGGCCTGGTGGTTAAAGCACTTGCATCAATTTGAAGGTTATATTCTTAGCTCTTTCGGTAAAGTCACGTTGACGGGAAACAAAAATATATATTTTATTATTTTATTGCTTCCCTTCAACGTGACTTTACCGAAAGAGCTAAGAATATGAATTACTGCTGTCACGAAAGCTTTAAATCAAAATTTGAAGGTTGTGAGTTAAAATCCTGGGTAGGGGACAACCTAAACTTTTATCCCTCCAGGATCCAAAAGTGGTCTTCCTAGGGGTCGACTGGATCCATAGTGCCATCCACATGCAACTTCAGAAAGAGGTGCCATCTGCTTTATGTTGAGTGCAAATGAAGCCACACATGTGACTCTGCTTTGCACGTCCAGTGCAGGAGAAGGCGACCCAAAACATGCTCAACCGCATGTGGCCTTTGCTCAGGAATTGCACAGACTTGCCAGAGCCACTCTTGGCATTTCTGCTCAGGGCGTCGATGAAAAGTATTGAAAGCAAAATGCACACAAGTCCACATATCGGTGGCAACAGCGTGCATTGTCGCCGTAGGAGGGGCTGCTGTGATACTCCACTGTTTGATCAGTTGTGCAAACAGTCGTGCAGCCATTTGTGAGTGAGAATGAGTGAAATTTCAAGTTTCGGGCCTCCTTTGCCCCACTTGAAGGGTTCTCAGAGGTAGATCTGTGGTCTCTGCTTCTGTGGGCTGTTCTCCTGCGTGAGATATTCGAATGGGCACATCGTCTCGTGGCACGATGGCGCTCGCACAATTGGGATGCAGTTGGGGGTCAAAGATTAAAAGGTAAAGTACAGTGAAACCTTGGATTGCGAGTAACTTGATCTGCGAGTGTTTTGCAAGACGAGCAAAATGTTTAAATAAATATTAATTTGATGAGCGAGGGTCTTGCAGTACGAGCAGTACGTATACGCTTTGTCTGCCGAGCGTCACGTGATCACAACTGATATACGAGTGTTCTTTGGTTCTTTCGGTAAAGTCACGTAGAATGAGAATAAAATAATAAATTGATAAAGTAAAATAACACAATATATAAAATAACACAATATTATTGTGTTATTTTATTTTATCAATTTATTATTTTATTCTCATTCTACGTGACTTTACCGAAAGAACCAAAGAAGATGAATCCTTGCAGTCACGAAAGCTTTAAATCGAAATGATATACGAGTGCTTTGATATATACTAGTGCTTTGGATTACAAACACGTTTACGGAACGAATTATGCTCGCAATGCAAGGTTTTACTGTATTCTAATGCAAATTCAGGGTGAAGTGCCCTTAGTTGGGGTATGTTACTCAGGCCAGTGTGTGCATTTGACTGTTTTTCAGTTTTCTCCATTCTCCACAATGAAGCTGAAGGAGATAGACAGGACGGCCAACCAGGCGTGGAGCCCTGCGGCCCAGCACCCCATCTACCTGGCCACAGGTAAACACGCTCGCACCTCATCGCTACGCAGAGTTCCCAGACCGTGAGATCTGGGTTTGCGTTTGGTGGAAATGCCGTGGCGGCGCGCGCGTTTGGTTTTACGCTGCCGGCATTGCGCTGACGCCGCGGTGCCGCGCTTGCCGCGCTTGCCGCGCCGCGTGCAGGAACCTCGGCGCAGCAGCTCGACGCCACTTTCAGCACCAATGCGGCTCTCGAGGTCTTTGAGCTGGACCTGGCGGACTCCTCCACGGATCTTAAGCTGCGCGGGACGCTCACCACGGAGAACAGGTATCGCACAGCGACGGCAGTACCCCTGGACCGGTCTCTCTGCCTTCTCTTCCGTCGGTCGTCGCATGGCGGCTGATGATGAGGCTAGGCTAACTTCTAACATGCCTTCCTTTCTCCCATCATGGTGATTGCTTCCTGTAGACTTGCATGTTTCTCTAGATTTTAAGTTTTCGTGACTGCAATGATCCATACTCTTTGGTTCTTTCGGTAAAGTCACGTAGGTAAAAAATGAAAAATAAAGTCAACCAAATCACGACGTTTCGGAGGCAAAACAAGTTTCTGTCATCAGATGTAACTAGCACAGCAAAATTCCTTACACTGGGAATACACCTCTTGGATGGATGGCCTCACTTCTTGATTGTTCCACGTGGCAGTGAAAGGACATTGATGGTAAATTAGTTTGCTTCTATGTCCAAATCAAAAAAGGACTCAATTTTTGTTGATTATGTTTGGATGTATGTTGAACTTATTTCACACCGTACGTAGCCAAACGTGCTAATGATGGCTAGTCGTCTAGATCAGAATCCAGAATTTTATTGATTTTTTTATTTTAAATCGCTTAATCTGTGAGTTTCAGCCACGGGTCACCTCCTTATTTGCCCGACGTGTCCCGACACCCGGCTTCCTGGAACATAGAAGCTTCAATGTGGTTCTGTGCTCTCCACTTTTTAACAGCTCTTCAGTGAAACCCACTTGAGTTGCAGGATGGGTTGTGTGTGTGTGTGTGTGCGCCCAGCCCTGAGAGGGCTCTTCATTGACTGGCTTGTGCACGGATGTGTAAGGCCATCGGCAGTCACTTTGACACGTGCCACTTATGAATTGGTCAAAATTCATGCCGGAATTTTTTTTTTAAATGAAATTTTACACTTCACACTTTAAGGCGTCCTCTCTGGTGCTTCCCAGTGTTTGACCACCGGAAGAACGTTAAAAGAATGTAGCGATCACATTTACTGGAAATGTAATAAAAAGTCTTAAGTGTCTCCCTGCTTAATAATGGGGTTATCTTAATCTATTTTGGCAGCTTTAAACTATGAATACATTCATCCAGGTTCATCTGATCTTAGAAGCTAAGCAGGTTAGAGGCTGGTCAGTATCTGTTCGGAAATATTGGGTGTTGTTGGCTTGGACTGCAACTGACTAGGAGCTTGCAGTGCAGCAATGCATTTAATCCATCTTTGTGGGAGCTATATGTGTTATCGCTGTTCATGCAATGGGTTTCTCCGGGGACTCCGGTCTCCTACCACATGAAGCCAAGCACAAATTGAATTGACCAAAAATATCCCAATGCAGGACCCTCCTAAAAAAGCGTCCCGAGGCCCGGTTGGCAATTTCCTGAGTAATTAAGGTATTTGAAACAGGGGCGGAGCAGGGGCGGCACAGTTTTGCGTGCGCTGTGCTATGAACCTGACAAACGGAGTTCGATGCCTGGCCACTGCCAACATCAGTGGTGAGAAATATCTCAACCGGTTTTGTTCCCCCCCCCCCCTTCACTCGCTTGCACTGACCAGCGTGGTGAAGTATGGTCAAGTAACACGCTCTACCCACCCGGCTTGGGGAGGCTCTCCTACACCAGTGGATAGTTGCTCGATCACAGCATTTTCCCTGACAGTCTGTTCGGGCTATACGGGGGGGGGGGGGGGATCTTTGTAATTTTTGTTGGAAGTAAATTACGTGCGCGCGCACGCGCGACATATGCGCAGGTACCACAAGCTGGTGTGGGGGGCACCCCTGCCAGGCGAGGAGGGCGCCGGCGTGGTGGTGGGCGGCAGCGACAACGGTGTGCTCATCCTCTACGCGGCCGACAAGGTGCTGAGCGGCGACGCCGACGCAATCATCGGGGAGAACGACCGGCACACGGGGCCCGTGCGCGCCCTCGACTTCAACCCCTTCCAGGTAGCGTGACCGGAGAGCGCCCTCGGCACCGGGCGCTCGCGGGCGGTTGTTCTAAGCGTGCTTGTTTGTCCACAGTTATGTTCTGACCCTGGACAAAACGCACTCGAATGAGCCCGATCTTGACAGAGCTTGGCAGAGTTGAATAAGTAACAAATGGACACCTTGCGAAAGACTCGATGCAGAAGATCTTTGGCTTCGATCGTCATCAAAGGTTATGGGCACAAAGCATCTATGTATGTTGAACTTTTTTCGCACCACACAGAGCCAACCGTGCTAGTCGAGGTGCGGGGAAAGGACAACAAACTAAACACAAAAGCAGTTCTCGAGAAATTAGTTTTCAATCTAGATTTAAAGATGAATAGCTCTAGTGGCTTCCTAATATCGGAAGGAAGAGCATTCCAGACAGCCACAGAAACGCATCTGAAAACGTGCGATGCGATGACCATCTTTGTTCGATGGTTAGCCAAATAAAACAAAAACCCAATACACTTCGTCTGTACAAACCATGGCTAAAAACTCTCCGGTGTGCGACTGTGGTCACCCAAAACAGACCATGGAACACATAACGACTTGGTGCCCAATTCACAAATACGAAGGAGGCATCGCCGCAGCGATTCGCCACTCCACAACTCCTGATGCAAATTTTCTGGCTCAACTCCCTCGATGTAAAATTCTTTTTGATGCCTCTACATCTACAACAATCGTGTTGAGCCTGGATAGTGCTTCAATGAGTGACCACCATGCATCATCACGCTTTGTTATCCCCAGTTACAATCCAGCTTGTGACCAAATTGACACCAGAATGTGCCCAATTTTATAATATTCTGGAAACTTGGCAGGGTTGTGTTTGGCCAAGCATAAAGCAGTGTCAGAAAAATACATTCTTGTACTGTTCCGTGATCTCACGTCCAATGCTGTTCGCCTTCGAACTGTACAGACCGCATAATCTCTTCTTTGCAGGCCAACCTTCTGGCCTCTGGTGCAAATGACTCGGAAATCTACATCTGGGACCTCAACAACTTTGGCACTCCCATGACCCCTGGCTCAAAGTCACAGGTGAGGCGTGTTCTCTGGCTCCTTACTAAAACGTCACGTATAAAGAAGGGTGACACGTGAAGGATATATTTTGCGACTCTCTCTTTGGAACATTTATGCTGAGTCATTGACGCTTGCCCCTTGAATTGAAAATCACGTGTAAATGTATAAATCTTCTATGTTTATTGTGATTGGTGATGTCGGTGCTATTCCTGCAGGGAAATTCAAATAAGAAATTGGTTGAGGGCCTTTTAATCAACTGGCTGCCATGGTTGCATTTTAGACGTTTAATGTGCACTCTATGGTGTCACATTTGTAAAACTCAATATCCCAGCAGACATAGCTATGTTAAACTTCTATTGTACAACTTTTCCTATAATCAAATGCTTTGCATGAATCATCAAAACAATTCTCTAATATATTTTTGTAAATGTAAAAATCATTGCTGCATCCTTAAACTACATATGCAGAGTATAGTATAACACCAAATGCATTTAAAATAATACTAATGCGCATTTGCAAATGCTTGTTCCTGAAAATATTTGCTTTGGTGATGTAATAATTGACGATCTTTCTCTTTCTCGCCGACGCTCGTTCATAGATGCGAGAGGTAAGACGCGGACGCTTTTTTCACGTGATGATTTTCTGCTTTCCCTCCTTGTTACTAACATCCCCGAGGCCTGTCGGTCCCCTGTCTTCCTTCCTCCTGCGTACACGACGCCTTTGGCAGTGGGCGCTCACCTCTGCTGCTTAAAGCTGACTGTATTTAATTGCGCGTGGCAAGGTTTGCGGAGCATTGTCGTGATTTATGCACTGCTCGACACTCCTGGCGACCTGTATTCTGTCCGTGACTATGCACATCGCCCGCTGAAGAAGTGAAATTGATATTGCCCCGTCATTCAATTTGACCAATTCAGATGTGTGGCAATGTGGTTTACAGCGTGCAGCTCTCAATCACAAGGTTGCGAGTTTAAATCCTGGTTAGGGCCTGACTCAGCCCTTCATTCCCTTGAGGTCAACTAAACAGGTTCTGCTTTGTGGGATGTCATCTGTCTTTCGTTCTGTGGATAGACTCCCGCGCCATAGCGATGCAATTTCGGCCACTTGCTTGGAGCTGTAAACCTGTTTGACTTATTCCACTCACATGGTAGAGGGTGCAACCCTTCAGTATCAACACGGATGGGACATGGGTGGCCAGGCTGCGTGGTAGTGACGCCACTGCCTCTTGTGTCCTTGTGTGTTGTGCTCACACGACTAGGTACTAACATCACTTGCCCTAACAGTCTGCAAGGTTCAATGGAAGACTTTTGTCTTTATATGTCCATAGGGATTTTAACTGTCTCTTTAAGGGGCTCAGATGGTCTAACTTAAGAGCTAATCCTGAACTGTATAATTAATAATAATAAACAATTTAGAACGGGAATATGTTTCGCGAATCGGACTTAATGTTCGATCGGGAACTCGGAGGTGGGTAGCCAGACTTTGTCATCACTTGTCAATGTGAATATATATTTTTCCACGTTTTTCCTTCGTACATGATGTGCGGGGTATGTATGTGTTTTGTGTGTAAAGCTCAATGGCGGAGCCAGGATTTTCAGGTAGAGGGTGCAACCCCTCCAGCAATGAAAAATGATAGAGGAGTTGTTAGTAAGTAAGGACTTGTTAGTAAGTAAGGAGTTGTTAGTAAGTAAGGAGTTGTTAGTAAGTAATGACTTGTTAGTAAGTAAGGAGTTGTTAGTAAGTAAGGAGTTGTTAGTAAGTAAGGACTTGTTAGTAAGGACTTGTTAGTAAGTAAGGACGTGTTAGTAAGTAAGGACTTGTTAGTAAGTAAGGACTTGTTAGTAAGTAAGGATTTGTTAGTAAGTAAGGACTTGTTAGTGAGTGAGTTGTTAGTAAGTAAGGAGTTGTTAGTAAGTAAGGAGTTAGTAAGTAAGGAGTTGTAAGTAAGTAAGGAGTTGTTAGTAAGTAAGGAGTTGTTAGTAAGTAAGGAGTTAGTAAGTAAGGAGTTGTTAGTAAGGAGTTAGTAAGTAAGGAGTAGTTAGTAAGTAAAGACTTGTCCCTTGCTTGTTACTCGCCGCGTGTGCGGCGATGACGCAGCCGTCGATCGAGGGTCGGATTCGAACCGCGTTGTGTGATCGGCATCGCGCTCGCTGAAGGTGTTGATGCCTTCAGGGAAGTCGTGTACTGTATACGCAACTGCGCACAATTCTGTGAGTCACTTATAACTGCTTTGCCGTTACTTATTGCCAATTATGGACTCGGACTATTGTCCTATCATCTCAGAGTCCCTGGCACGTACTAATATGCTAAACAGTGGCAGTGGGGGTCGAAAAATGCCGATTTGTTACTAATAAACCCCAATGATCCGATCGACATTAGGGATTTCGATCGGATCATTGGGGGGGCACGTGCCAACCCACCCCCCCACTGGCTCCGCCAGTGTTCATGCTACTTTGATGAAAGTTATAAGTGCTAAGCGCTCACAAAATAAAAAAAAGAGTTAAGATTTAAACGCTTGCTTATTACAGCCAAAACCTTTGGCTGGCAGATCATGTAGAAAGCCGTTATGGACAGTCTGCAGCACTGTAGACAGGTGTAGTTCACCCTCAAGGCTCATCAGCCTGCCATGTCCAGTTGAGAAGTTCACATTCGCTTCGTTCCAGGCCAAAATCTGTCAAGCAAGGTCTGCTCTTACAGTATTCCTCAATCTGGCTCGGGGTCTTAACCCTTGGTTGCCGATGTTTCAGTGCCGTACCCGTGCCCATCTCGGTGGGAAATACCGACCTGGTCTCGGGCCCCTCCTAGGTCGCCTTGGCTTTTGAATGAGTCTGGTGTGTGGTGTGTAAACAGCGGTACTGGGTAGACCAGGGGGTGGCAACCTGCGGCTCCAGAGCCGCATGCGGCTCTTTAAGGGCTGCATTGCGGCTTTTGAAATAGTTTTTTTTTTTACCGAATTAGAAAAAAAATGACTGCTCTTGTTATTTTTGTTGCCGACCCCTGACCCTGAGAGTCCGATTTACCATGGGCAGGAGTCGGGCAACCTGCGGCTACGGAGCCGCATGCGGCTCTTTAAGGACTGCTCCATGATTTTTTTTTTTATTAAGGACCACTGTCTCCTATTGACGTGCATTGTGGCTCTTTAAATATGGAGCTTTTTAACCGAATTCGAAAAGAATGGCTCTTCTTGTACTGGCCTTCATAGGTGCTCGCTAACAGCACTTGGCACAAGAGTCTACGAAAGTTTCACGGAGGAGGGGGGGGGGCGGGAATTATTGTCATTGTGCGTGTGTGTGTGTGTGTGGACTGTGCGTAAGCTGGGACTGTAGATCCTCATAATGTGTGTGTCTGTGTGCGCGCGTGTAGCCGGCCGAGGATGTGGTGTGCGTGGCGTGGAACCGGCAGGTGCAGCACATCCTGGCGTCGGCCAGCCCCAGCGGCAAGGCGGTGGTATGGGACCTGCGTAAGAACGAGCCCATCATCAAAGTCAGCGACCACAGCAACCGCGTGAGTGTGGGTGAGGGTGGCGGAGCAAGCCCGGGGGTTCCCCTGGGTGTGCGGTTGATATCGGCGTGCCGATGCCCTCTGGGGGTTGTTTTGGTGCTCGATCGTTAGCGCGTGTTAACGTGGAATTGCCGAGTTCAAGTCTTGAGTGGAGAAGGCAGTGTCGCGATCATTCACACACACGGTCAGTCAAGTAAATAACATTTTGTGAGTGGTCGGCAGTGGCCGTCGTGTGGAATAACTCGCGTCCTCCAAACTAATGTGGAATTCCCACCACTGGTCAGGACTAAAGTAGATGAGCGCCTCCCAATAGCTTTTCTTGAATAGCTAGATACTTTCATACTTGAATAATAACGGCGTTGGCAAGGAAACCTCGCCAAACTGGCACTGTACATCACGGTGAATTACAAATGACCCCATAAACCGCATGGTGGATTTTCAAATGGACTGTACATGTGCATTGAGTCAGCAGCCATCATAGATTATTGTGCGGCTCATCTCCCTGCCCATGCACCGCACTCACGGCACCGGCTTTCGCTCCTTATCCCCCCCACCTCCCCCGTGCCGCAGATGCGCTGCTCGGGCATGGCGTGGCACCCGGACGTGGCGACGCAACTCGTGGTGTCGTCCGAGGACGACCGCATGCCGGTCATCCAAATGTGGGACCTGCGCTTCGCCACGTCGCCCCTCAAGGTGCTCGAGAGTCACTCCAGGTACGCGACGGCACGCGCCCTGCCGCCCTCGCTGACGCCCGCTCCCCGTTCGGCCGAGTCAATCTCCCGCCACGCGTAAATGTGTGTCCGGAGGTTTCCCCTTCATCCGTCGCCCTCTTCCGCACAAACGTCTTCCACTCCTTTGGTCTTGACAATCACTTCACGTAGGCATGTGCATTTGTCCTTTAACTCCGCCTTGGTGTCGTCAATCCTCCTCGCTCCTGCCACGTGGCATCGCAAGGTCACCCATGGCCTCCCTTCCTTGTTACACATCCAAACCAGATCATTCGAACCTAGACGGTTACTTCATCGCACGCTTTCAGATGCTCTTCTGCAGCTGTCTCGAACGCTCTTCCTTCCGATATTAGGAAGGCACTGGAGCTATGCACTTTTAAATCATCCACTTATTTCTTTAGAACTGCTTTTTGTGTTTAGTTTGTTGTCCTTTCCCGCACTTCCAATTAGCATGGCTGGCTACGTACGGTGCGAAAGAAGTTCAACATGCATGCGTACAACTCTGCATCCCATTGCGCAAAGTGTCCTGCTGGCTGAGCTTCGTAGGTTTTTTGGTCTCTGGTCATAGGATTTCCTCAAGTTCATGTCTGCGTTGAGGGCTATTCGTGTGACTGAGTTGCGCTTGTAGCTAATGCAGTGAAACCCCTGGCTAGCTGGATCCTGGCCAGCCGGATTTCACATTTAGATGCACTGGGTCGTCTAATAAATAAATACAAGAATATAGTCAAATAATCACGTAATTTGCATACTATGTAATTTAGATTAGACAATGGAATGCAACATATACTCAAATGCACTAGAACGCATTTAATTAGATATTATTTCTAAAATTTGTATATTTAGTGCACTTGCGGTAATACATTAGTGGCCTGGAGGGGCGATAGGGGAGGGGCGTTGGGGGGGATGGTGGGGGCTGACTGACGTACTACTGTACAGCACACAACACACCTGTGTTGTGTTTAATACTCCGCACACACTACACATGCTAAAAGATGTATTGCATAGTTACACGGGTACTGTGTGGCACACGGGGGATGTTGTTGGCTTTCACATTGATTTTTATTGAAAAATCAATGTGTCGTGTTCGCGCAGGGGAATTCTGGCCATCGCCTGGTGCCAGGCGGACCCGGAGCTGCTGCTCAGCTGTGCCAAAGACAACCGGATCCTGTGCTGGAACCCCAACACCGGCGAGGTGAGCAACCACACATCCACCGCCACTTCACCGGAGCCACTCTCACTGCCGAGTTCAGCTGGCTGGCTTGGTGGTGCTGTAGTGGTGTAGCGACCGATATTAATAGGGGTGAGTGTGAATAAAATAAAACTGTAAACTTAGACAATTGTTTAAATTTTACCAGGTAAGGCGCACTGAGCTGTAGAGCTCTTTTTCAGAAGCCACCTGGCGACAGGTGACAGCTCAACGAAGTGGTTTGTGTAAATTTAAAGCAGCCAAATAGTCTAAATCCTCTCGACGACAGGAAGAACGTGCAAACTCCAGATATACAGTCGTCAGGATTGGGATCGATCTAAAGCATGAGTGTTGAATGTTAGGCAGATGGGATAGATATAAACTGGATGGAAATATGTCAATAATTAACAGAGAAGTGGCAGGTGGGGAAGAACAATAGTGCAGGTAGTTGGGAGGTATATAAAAAGGAGAAGGTTGGAGGGGTTCTGAGGTTTGGAACGGGAATGTGGGAAGGTGTGGTGGAGATGAGCTGCTAGCAGAGGGTCAGGGAAGGTGGTGTGTTGCTGACACATGTGAAGTTGCACACTCTTACAGCTTCCAGTTGATTCCCTTTGGGAGAGCACTCCTCTGCCGCCTCTCTTTCCTGAAACTGCTTCCTCCAGCTGACATGTCTGAGAACGCGTCCATTGAGGAGATGAAGCAATGATATTAACTCGCATCTAGCAGCGAGATGGATTGTTGCATCTAGCTCCTACACGTGAGCTGATTTCACCCAGTCTTTCACCATTATATCAGATTTATTTGGATCATGACCGATGACTTGGTCACACTGCGCTGGCTGAGTCATGTAGCCTACATTCTCAGCCACCGCATGCTCAAGCAGCTTCTGTTCGGCCGGATAGATGGGGCTAAACGGGCGCAGCATGGGCTGGAGAATATATAGACTGATGTGGTACAGAAGGATGTGGAGTTGATTGAACTTCCCAGTGACTGATACCAGCAGTGTCAAGATCGGCTTCTGTGGAGGAGGTTCGTGAAGGACGCTGTTGGGGAGTTGGAAGCAGTCGCTCTCCAACAACAACGGGGGGCAAAGGAGCAATGCTCTCAACAACGAGCACAGTGCCGGGCAGCTAAAGCGCAGAGAATTGGCACAGTGGGCAGCACAGTTTGGTGCATCTGGCAACCATCTCAGTCAACCCATGGCACCTGGCTCTGTTCCGTGACGTCCTGGCAGCGAGCCTCCGACACTTCGCGTGGCCTCAAAGCGCACCTAGTGTGGCACGAGCACCGTGGTCATGTCACCGCCACTTAGTGGCGAACGGCGGTTGTTGGTGTTGTCGTCGTTGACCCCGACCGTGTCTCAACGCAGGTGGTGTACGAGCTGCCCACCAGCACGCAATGGTGCTTCGACATCCAGTGGTGTCCGCGCAACCCCGCCCTGCTGTCGGCCGCCTCCTTCGACGGCCGCATCGGCATCTACTCGGTGATGGGTGGCAGCATGGCCGCCCAGACACAGAGCCAGGCAGACAAGGTATACCTCGGTCGCTCAGCCCGTGTGCCCAATTTATCGCCTGCTGCTTTGGAGTGCCGGCGCCAAAGCGGGGTTGGTCTTGGATAGCGTTTGTATGGGCACAAAGCGGGCGTAACAGGTGTTGTAAGCTGCGGAGTTGTACCTGTAAAACTAATTGGAATGCAATGCATTTAAAATGATTGTACATTTTTACATTTCTATGATTTAATTTGGAACCACTTCCGTATTTGTCTGCTTTATTTGATTCGAAAATATATTCACGATTGACACATGTTTGGTCATTCGTGTCTGATATTTAAAAATTCTGTATTTTTTTCTGTGGTCTGCAACCCTGCCTCACTGTCCCTGCCTTGACTACTTGCGTCCCGCTTGTGTCCGGCTCATCGCTCTGATACGGCCTGAGCGGGCCACCACCTCCGCCATCCCATTTAATCACAGGCGGCCGCCCGGATCCGCGCCCAGGATTTCCGCGATGCCAGCAGACCATGCAACGTATAACGACGCCATGCCCCATCCACGTACGGAGGAGACATCACAGCGATACACTCCGCTGCTCCTGACGTGAATGTGAAATTGTAGTTGTTCTGCATCAACCACCCAGCGAGCTGCCACGCCATATATCTGTAAACCTTCAACTAACCGCCCCTCCGCCTTCCCTGTCCAGATCTCGTCGTCGTTTGGGAACCTGGATCCGTTTGGCACGGGGCAACCGCTGCCGCCGCTGCAGCTGCCACCGCAGTCTCCGACAACGCAGAGCACCTTCATCCCGCCGCTCAAGAGGCCCCCGCGTTGGATCCGCCGCCCTGTGGGTGCCTGCTTCGCCGTGAGTTTCTCCGCTGCTTCCCCGGGCGCCATTGCGAATGAGCGGTCGTTCGCATTCGATTTTGCTCTTCCGCATTACGACTTCACGTGGGTACGTGTGTACGTTGAGCTTCTTTCGCACCGTGACGTGCCAGTGGGAGAGGTGCGGGGTTAACACGTTCGCGAATGCCATCGGACGGTGTGCGACGAGGGCGTTGGCTGACAACGGGCCCCTTTTCGAAAGGTCTTCCCCAGCGGGTGGATTGAAAGCCTCGGTTGAAAGAGGTGGCCGAGTGATGCGGCGGTGCTCACGTGGCCTCCTGAATGTTCGTTTGTGTTCTCTTCCTCTCCCCTCGCAGTTTGGGGGAAAGCTTGTCACGTTCGGCAGCGAGAAGGCAGCTCCGGCCGGGAGCGTGGCTGGGCCGCGGCAGGTGTTTGTCAGCCAGGTGAGATAGGGGCTTTGTTGTCCGGCCAGACAGTGGCTTTACCTGGTCAAGGTGTGGATAACAGAGAGCAAATCGAGATGATTGTATGCAAGAGAGCGGAATTAATGGTCAGAAGGAAGTAAAATGCATTTTTCATATGTTCGTGTTGGCACCTTGTCGTCCATGACATTGGCATCGTTCATCAGATGCCTTTAGCTTATGGGTTTGATGGCAGATCACGTCGGCACGACCAGCCGTGTAACCACGTGTCGATTCGTCGATTAACGTCAACTCTTATATTCAACGGCGCGCGCGTGGGATATGCACGGCTCGCCAGTGACGCCACGCCCGTTTTCGTGGCTGCCCCCCGCCCCCCCCCCCCCCTCCTGGCTCTCCCCGGCCGCGTGCGCAGGTGGTGACCGAGACGGCTCTGCTGCGCCGCTCCGACGAGCTGCAGGGGGCGCTGCGCTCCGGCCGCTGCCTCGACTACTGCGTGGCGCGTGCCGCCGCAGCACACAACGACTTTGAGAGGAGCGTCTGGAATTTCCTCAAGGTGCTCGCCGGAGCCCCGCTGCCGCCTTCCTTGGGGGTTTGGCCGCACGTCGCTTGATAGGAGCGCCCCCCCCCCCCTCCCCCAGAGTTTGGGGAAATTATTGACGCGAGTTCGGGCCGACTTTCTGCTTGTGTTGTAGGAAAACTGCGTTCGTTAAAAATTGTGCAGTGTTTTGAGATGCAGTTTGCATGAATGACGCCGGATAAAATAAGTTTGTTGTAATGGGGAATGGCAGTGTAAATTTATAATCTGTTTTGATTGTTTATATTGGTTAAAAGCCGGGCAGCATAGTTGATTTTGGAACAAATTATCCGGTGATGCTGCATTGGAAGTGGCGCTCGCAAGCACAATGAACAGAAATATTCAACACTTTCTTCAAGAACACCGTGGCCTTAAAAGAACAGAATAGATGTTATTGTTTTATATTTTTATTATTTTATTGTTTCCCTTCTACGTGACTTTACTGAAAGAACCAAGAATATAATTGATGTAATAAGCGACGTTTCAGGCAATTTCCCATTCTTCATAGCGCACCGCATCCTATGAAGAAGGCCCATTTCCCGAAACGTCACATATTATATCTTGCTACTTTTATGCCCACGGTGTTATTAACGAATGTGACTTTTTTTTCATTCTGGAACTAAGTTTTCAGTGTGTGGTACCTATCATGGCATATTAATTGGAAACATATGTTCTGGCTAAGGAACACAGTCTGAAAAGTATTCAAAGAAGTATGGAGTTATTACATTCAGAATAACATAACATGCTGGGAAATGCATTGGAGAGGCAGAAAGAGAGATGCGTGGTTCAGAGAAAAATCGCACAAGAGAGATGATTAACTGATAACCCTTTCCCGTTTCGAGACGTCTGCAAGTTGCAGAATGGGTCCCATTCACCGCCGAATCTCGGAACGGCGCAAGCGGTTCACGCAAATTTTACTTGGGAGAGGTGTGGCGCCGCTGTTTTTAAAGACATTGTACTCACCGCGGAGAACCGTAGCGACACGACCGCCACACTCTATGAAAGCTGGCGCCAAACTGCCACACGCCCTTCCCCGCCTGTCCCTTTACTTCCGGAATCGGAAGAAAAACTGAACTGGAAAGGGGTGAAGTACAGGAAGCGTGCTTGAGGGGAGTGCATGTCACAAGACGGCTTTGATGTCCGGTGGACTCGCCTGGTGACCACGTGGCAACCGAAGGAGAGAGTGCTCCCGATAGGACGACCGTCTTTGGCTTGCGACTTGGATATTGGTGGTAAAGCACACGGCCGGACTGGCGGGTGAATCCCAGCAGTGATGTTTGTGTTGTTGTTGTTGTTGTTCAGGTTAATTTTGAGCAGGAGCCACGCACGCACTGCCTGAAGCTGCTGGGGTACAGTGCGGATGAGCTCGACGCCAAGGTGCACAGTCCACACCTTCGCCTGGCACTTGGCTCCAGCATTGTTCACTAATAGAGTAGAAGCTGCACATGAGTTCTGCTACAAGCAACACATGCTTACATTGCACTGGTATAAGCAACACATTATAATCACATTAGACTGGTATAAGCCACACATCACATTACACTGGTATAAGCAACACGTTCTCACAGACTGAAATAATCAACACAATCTCACATTAAACTGATATAAGCAACACATCACATTAGACTGGTATAAGCAACACGTGCTGACACTAAATTGGCGCGGGGAAGGCAAAGATCAACTTCTGATACATTGCACGCTACTCTAATACTCAAAATATGCACTCTTGGACTTGCTCCCAAGAGGTTGTGCTCATACCCAGCCTCACCGTGGTACTGATCTCATTCCGTGAGAGCCCATTGCGTTCCTTTGTCTCTTATGTGTTGGAGGTACAGTCAAATGCAAACAAAATATATATAATATATATGCGAGGGCTGTACTGAAGGGATTCACCCGATGGTGGCTTGTGACAGATTTCAGCTATCCTGAGAGAGGAGACGAGCCCTGACCCTGACCAGAATGCAACCGAAGGTAGCGTCAAGGTACGTACGGAGTGGCTCCCCCCGAGGTCATCGGCTCAAGTCACACACGACCCGTCACAGGGACCTATGTGTAATGTATAAGCTTGTGTCTGTGTTACTGTGACTTGTACATGAACAGTGCTTTGTCAGTCCACGGTCACTCAGAATCTGAATATGTATTTATACTGGAGGATTCCGGTGAGCTATAAAGCTCTTTTTTTGTGGACAGATATCCAGGTCGGAACGTTACAACAATAAATAAATAAATAAAAACACGAGAGGAATGCACAGTATGGGAAAGGTAAACTAATCACTTCAACACAAAATATACAAATAAAACTCAACTACTTATACCATTGGAACCTCCTTTGCCAGTAGCAAAATATGATAATTGTTTTTTTACCCTTTTATCTGGCAACAAAACTGACACCTTTTTTACAAGGAGTCATGTTTGCATTGACCACAATACTCTTTGGTTCTATTGGGTAAAGTCACGTAGGTGAAAATAAAATAACAAAAAATCACGACGTTTCAGCCACATCATGATGAAGGCCGCTTGTGTTGTGGCCGCAACGTCGTGATTTTTTGTTATTTTATTTTCACCTACGTGACTTTACCCAATAGAACCAAAGAGTATGGATGCTAGCAGTCACGAAAGCTTTAAATCTAGAATTGACCACAATACCTGCCGTTGGAATGCAAACAAAAAACATAACTTTGATAATGTATTGGCACTTTCCTTGAAATTGATTGGTCCACACCCGAGACAGCTTTCCTTAGAGCCGCCATCTGGTCCAACACCACGTGAGACTCGCCTCTAAGGAAAGCGCATTTTGGCGTCATCTAGTACAACACCACGTGAGACTCGCCTCTAAGGAAAGCTGTCTCTGGTGTGGACCAATCAATTTCAAGGACAGTGCATACATTATCAGAGTTATGTTTTTTGTTTGCATTCTGACCGTATGTATTGTGGTCAATGCACACATGACTACTTGTAAAAAAGGTGTCAGTTTTGTTGCCAGAAAAAAGGGTACAAAACCAATTATCATAGTTTTTTTTATCTTACCAGGCATAGCCCGCTAAGCTATTAGCTTCTGTTTCAGAAGTAACCTGGCCACAAATGAAGTGGGGGGGCCCTCCTATATCCACTGCTGGATGTGGGCCCTGCACACCCTGTGGGACACGGCGATGTATTTAACCATACTTTACCATACTGGTTTATGCGGTTTGGTGAATGCGGGGAGCATAGACGGGGGTATCGAAGTACAGTATAACAATGGATTTGGGTGCACCGACTTGTACTAGCCATTATGTAGCCATCCACATCCTCCTGATAACCAATTTGTGTACGGTCATCACCCAGGCTCAAGCCTGCTTAGCTTCTGATGCATCTGACGAGTTCGGGCGTGTGAGAATGTCAGGGGGATGTTTATCACAGATGTTTGTTTCTCAGAGAGGCCTATTGAAGGTCGCTTTATCACAGGTAGATGCATGTGTGTATATTGACCTTCCACACCATACTCAGCCAACCGTGCTAATCAGTGGTGCGGGGGAAGGACAACAAACTAAACACATAAAGCAGTTCTTAACAAATGAATTTTCAATCTAGATGATTTAAAAGTGCATATCCCCAGTGATTTCCGAATATCAGAAGGAAGAGCATTCTAGATGGCCGCAGAAGCGCATCTTAAAGCGCGCGATGCGGTAACTGTCTTTGTTCGATGGTTAGCCAATAAGGCACGTGATCCAACCGGTGCATCTTCATTGGCTGGCACACATCGCCCTCCGCGACCAGCGGGTGTGATGCTGCATTGCGCTGGGCGCATCGGGCTGGCGACGTGGGCGAGGCTGACGAGTGTGCGCGGTGCCGCCTTGCAGAGCGTGGACGATCTGGAGGACGAGGCCCTCGACAAGGAGGACGAGGTGGAGAGCTTTCCCCCAGGCATTCCAGCTGCGCCCCAAGAGGCCACTGCCACCACCACCACCAGCGATGGCTCCTTCAAAGTCTCCACCACGGCCGGTGGGTGGCACAGACGCGTGCCAGCGCCAATCCCGTTGACCGAAACCGGTTGGCTGAGGTTTTCGCAAGCGGTGGCCTGTGATTAAACTTTCAAAGGCAGTAATCGAAGTCTGTTTCTGCTCGATTGCTCGTGTGGCGGTGCTCCTCTCCTCTTTACAGTTGTGAACTAACGATGTGAATTGTGCATTCTTGTGGTGGGGTTGGCACTATTTGGACACACGTGTAGGGCGGACAACGAAAGGAAAATTTAAAGCGTGTTGTTTGGGGAGAAACGGAAGGAACCGGAGAGAGAGGAAGATCAAACGGAGAATGGCTTGACAACGACATCAGAAATTGGTGCCAGAAAGACGTACACTAACCATATTGGCACACGACAGAGGAAAGTAGAAACAAATGACGAAATGTGCAGTGGACCAACCTACGGGCTATATCGGCCCATGGATTGAGATGATATTGATGGTGGTGGGGTTGCGTCCATGCATACGACCTCCTAACATAAAATGGGTGCGTTTTTTTTTTTATCGGCCCGACTCCGATGCACGTTGTCGCCGATCACGTTTAACGCTGCGTTGCTTTCGCGCAGACGTGGACGGCCTCATCAGTCAGGCGCTGCTGCTGGGAAACTTTGAGCGAGCGGTGGAGCTGTGCCTGCACGACGGGCGCATGGCGGACGCAGTCATCCTGTCCATCTCCGGCGGGTCTGAGCTGCTCGCCAGCACCCAGAAGAAATACTTTGCGCGCAGCCAGAACAAGATCTCTCGGGTGCGAGCGAAGCTTACGGCCATCCGTTATTTTGTCGTGTTTTTGATGCTTCCCCCCCCCCCCCCCCCCCCGCTGAACTGGCGTCGCTGAAATCCTTCTGCATTTGAATCCAGGCAGGCAACCGCCTGTGACTTACCCAGAGTTTAATGGTCTCAGTCTGGTCACTCGTGACTAGACAAAAACATCAATCACATTGTATTTAGTTCTGCGCTTAATTTCGCTCAATCTTAGCTCTTAAGAATTCAAAATATGGGTTCAACTCGCATGCGACGAACGTTATGCTTAGTAGCAGGGCGGATGGGACTTGTGCTGCCCCCTGGCGTGAGGGTGAAAGATGATCTGATCTTCATGGCGGTACCCCGGGGTACCAAAGAATACAAAATGGGCGAGGCAATTAATTATTTCATTTCTGGGACACTTTTTTTCTGGGGTACCAATCAATCCGAAATCAGTGCTACTCCGCGATGTCGAAACGCAGCGAGGAGAATTGCACCGTAGTGGTGCATCGTGAGTACAGCTCGTCGAGATGAGCCGATTTCCGCATCGCCGGCCATCGACAGACTAAAGATGACTGCGTCACGGACATTGTGCGAGAGCCGGGGTACTATGGTACCCCGGGGGACTGCCATCAGGTTTATCTGTAGGAATTCAGAAGTGGCTCTGAGATATTCACTTCCTCTGACCGTTTTGTTACATGGGATGGGAGGGGGGGGTGCAAAAGTTCCGAGTGGATTTTTCATCTTCTAATGTGACGCCCTTAATATAATCGGGATTAAATGGTCGGAAAATACATGGAAACATGTCTAGGTTTTGATGACTACATGTCGTGTCTTTTGATCCCAATACTCTTAGTGGACACTAGATGGCATCCCTTCATCACACTTTGTAAAGCGTGGCTCAGCCTGGGCACGTGAGATCCCCTTGGGGGCCATGTGTAGGTCCGCGATTCAAGAATCGAATCCTCGTTGTCTCGCTCGTTTCCGCGGTGTCTCAACGTGTGTCTCGTACAGTTTTGCATGAGGTGGAATGTAAGGTTAGCAAATTGGTGCGTATAATTTTCACAAGTACAGTAAAACCTTGGATTGCGAGTAACTTGGTCTGCGAGTGTTTTGCAAGACGAGCAAAATTGTAAATAAATATTAATTTGATAAACGAGCGAGGGTCTTGCAATACGAGCAGTACGTATAGACGCTTTGTCTGCCGAGCGTCACGTGATCACAACTGATATACGAGTGCTTTGATATACGAGTGCTTTGGATTACAAACACGTTTCCGGAGCGAATTATGCTCGCAATCCAAGGTTTTACTGTATATATAAAAAGATTGTTACCCATGCTCATGGTGCCAGTATCATGAGAGTTTAAGCGTTGATTTGAATATATTTTGCATTGCTGTGCACCTACTCAAAGCATGTCCATTGGAGCAAAGCATTGTGTTTTTATGCTTGTTGTGTGCACACCGATGAACGTTAACCTGGTTTGATTGCTGTCCATGCACAGTGTCGGTGACATTACGCTTCTGAACGTGTATGCTGGACCTCCCCTAGGTTGACTTAAGCCTAAAATGTCTACTTGGTCCTGTGGGTCCTCGTTCGTTGGAACTTTGGGGAGAAAGGAGGTGGCCGCTTGTGCGTGGTACTGGCTCCAAAGTTATCACACTGCCACGGTGGCGAGATGTTAACTGCCTCGCCCGGTGTACAGGAGGTCGTGGCTTCGATGCTGACCATGACGCCTGCATATTTGGAGTTTGCATGTTCTCTCCGTGGTCACGTGGATTTTTCTCCGGGTTTTACCTCCACATTTAGACCATTTGGCTGCTATACATTTCGACATGATAAGCCACTTCTCGTTGAGCTATCATTTGTGGCCAGGTCAATTCTTAAAAAGAGCTATACAGCTCGGTGAGCCTTACCTGGAAAAAGAAAAACATGTTTTAACAGTTTATGCCTTGACCTGAATAGGTGCTTGCTGACAACACCCAACAGGCTACAAAGCTAAGAGAGTGCTGTGTGTGTGTGCGTAGCTGGTGTCTGCGGTGGTGTCGCGCGACTGGGAGGACATTGCTCGCTCATGTGACCTTGACAACTGGAAGGAGGCCTTGGCCGCTCTGCTCACCTATGCCAAACCGCACGAGTTCCCGGCCTTGTGTGGTCAGTGCCAAGTTTTCCGTCGTTATCGTTCATTCCGTTTCTGTGGTTTGTTATGCCTTCCAACTGAGGCTTTAACTGCGTATATTTATGTATGTTGAACTTATTTCACATCATACGTTGCCAACCGTGCTAAGCAGAGGTGCGGGTTAGTTTGCAATCTAGATTTAAAAGTGCACAGCTCCAGTGGCTGCCCAGAAATCGGAAAGAAGAGCATTCCAGACAGCCGCAGAAGCGCATCTGAAAGCGCGCGATGCAGTGATGGTCATTGCTCGATGGTTAGCTGGGCTTGCGTATGGAGCAGAAGGGTGGCGAGGCGATGTAGATGCAAAGCAACAATTGCAATTTCACATTCAGGTGGTCAAGCCAGGTAACCGTGTCCGGAGCAGCTGAGTGCATCTCAAAATTAAGATCCACTGTAAATGAAAGTTCAGTTAAAAATGGTGTTGCTATTTAGAGACTTGCCCTATAGAAAATTAAATGGGATAATCAAAGTGTTGCCCAAAACGCGCGATAAATAAAACCAGCGTTAAATACATAATACTTTTTGGCCGAGTCTATTACGTCGCGTGCCATATGCCTTGCCTCGCCTTTCCATCAAATTGTCACGTATGGCGTCATCTTCTTTAGAGACAGGGGAGGCAATATTGCCAATGCTAATTAAATACTCCCAAGGACAACTCATGTTGGTAAGGATTGCCGAATCTATGTGCTGCGATATTTTTTCACTTTGCACACTTTTCAGTTTTTATTCCGTTTTAATTGTCGTGGTGCGTGCTTGTGATCCGTGCGTCGTTGCTCGGTGGCGGCCAATCTTTCCCTACCCACCGGCGACTTTGAACCCTCAAAACATGTCGATGGACCACCACGCATTTCTCACAACTCTGAATCGTAGCATCTGCTGCAGTTCCGCGGACGTCTTCGCGGGAAGCACCAGTGGCCCGCGGAGCACAGCTTGGGAACCACGGCTCATGGTTATTACACCACCTCATGTATGTGCGTGCGTGGGGAGTGGTAGTGTAGCGGCCGGCGTGCTTTGTGCTATGAACCCGGCGACCCGAGTTCTATTCACGCTCATGGCCAGCACCAGTGACGGTTTTCTTAACTGGTCATGCACCTCCCCTAGGTCGACTCGGCCTCAAATGAGTACCTGGTGCGGTGTGTTTATATTGCCGCTGGGTGTTGGCCATCCACCCCCGCGTGCGTCGTGCCGGCTTTCATTGGTGCTCGCTAACAGCACTTGCCCCAACAGGCCATGAAGGCTATACGGGGGGGGGGTCTTTGTGCGTGCGTGTGACAGACACGCTGGGCTCGCGTATGGAGCAGGAAGGCGACGAGACGTTGTGCGCCCAAGCCTGCCTGTGCTACATCTGCGCCGGCAATGTGGAGAAGCTGGTGGCGTGCTGGGACCGAACCCACGACACCAGCTCCGGGCTGGCCCTTCAGGTGCCCAGCACCGCCCCCGTGCTCCCGACAGTATCCACTAACAGGCTGCAGCGGCCAACATCACAAGGGCGTCTATGGTGGTCAACCACCAAGCACTCTTCAGGCTCTCAAATCCCCGCTTGGCTTCGAAGATCTGACGAGATCGGGCGCATTCTGCGTGATATGGCCACAGGCTACATTGTAGACAGCGGAGGAACGTGTAATAAAAGTGCTTGTGCAGTACTTGTGTGATGAACTCGCACTGACCAGCGTGGGGACCTACGGTCAAATAACTCCGATGACCCGAATGGCGTGGGGAGGTCCTCATCCGGCAGTGTATTGACAATAAAGCAGATATACTTGTTGGTATTTAATTTGACTTGAATTGTGCCGGCCTTCTGAAAGTTTCTGCCTACAAAATATGTAGGGTGTGTAGGCATATATTTCTGCAAAATACATTTTTTTTTTGGGGGGGGGGTGGGGGTGTTGACAATTGTTGTAAACCTGTTGGAGGGGTCCATTTTCTGCAACGTTTTGATTCAGGCTTTTATGATTTAGCTGACGGACAAACGGAACACCATGCTTTTATAATTTAGCTGACGGACAAACGGAACGCAGGGCTTTTATAATTTAGCTGATGGACAAACGGAACACTGGGCTTTTATAATTTAGCTGATGGACAAACGGAACGCAGGGCTTTTATAATTTAGCTGACGGACAAACGGAACGCAGGGCTTTTATGATTTAGCTGACGGACAAACGGAACGCAGGGCTTTTATGATTTAGCTGACGGACAAACGGAACGCCGGGCTTTTATAATTTAGCTGATGGACAAACGGAACGCCGGGCTTTTATAATTTAGCTGACGGACAAACGGAACACTGGGCTTTTATAATTTTGCTGACGGACAAACGGAACGCCGGGCTTTTATAATTTAGCTGACGGACAAACGGAACGCCGGGCTTTTATAATAAAATTTACTTGTATGCCACTGCATACAACACTCCAGAGCTATAACAGAAAACTCAACTGCTCGCATCTTTTACTGATCCATCCCCCACCGTGTCGCCCGGCACGTGTCGTTAAGCGTACGCGGCGGTGTGTCCTCGTCCGCGTGCGTGGCGTCACCCAGGACCTGATCGAGAAGGTGATGGTGATGCGGCAGTCGATGGAGGCGTGCGGCACTCGCGAGGCGGCCACGGGACAGGCGCTCGCTGACAAGCTGGCGCACTACGCGGGCCTGCTGGCGGCGCAGGGCAGCCTCGCCGCTGCCATGAGCTACCTGCCCGAGAGTGCCACCGAGGTGCGTGAGCCGCCGCTTGCTCTGCCGCTCGACCCCTCGCAAAGGTCACGAGCCCCACGTGGGGCGGTTGTCACCCGGTCGTACGAGCTGTGCCCGTTTCGTCTGGAGCCACCGATTTTATTCCAATTGAGATGTTTTGACGTCGTATCGGGAGGTGAATAAATGGAGGAATTGGCGGTAAACCGGTGCAGCGTAACACTCCGGTCCTCGTAAAACAGTCTTGACAATGTCGCTGTAGCCCTTTAGTGAGCTGCAGACTTTCCATCAGGAACCATCCGACCAATGCTAGGGCACGGGTCAAATCTACCTTTGGAACACGGAGCCAATCGCCATCAGGGCTGGGTTGCCATACACGACAGACCGTGAAGCTTCGTGTTCAGCTGCTCATGACATGTCTTCCGACTGCTTCGACATCACGAGAACTTATTTTGACCGGGGGTTGCGAATTGTGGGAAAATAAGTAATGATTGAGAAAAACGTGCTTTTTGTTATACTGCGCACCGGTGTGCCGCCAATACATTCACATGTGAGGAGTCATATTGTCCGCTTATTGATTTCGTGCACGAGCAGATGAGAACTTCCTCGAATGTGATTGCCGCGTGTGCCCATCTGCCGTGTCGTCGACATCAGAGCCAAGTGGTGGCGCTGCGGGACCGGCTGTACCACGCCCAGCAGGAGGTTGCCGGTGCCCAGGCAGCGCCGCCATTCCCTTACACCCGTGCCGAGCTGACCAAGCCACAGCAAAAGCAGCAGCAGCAGTATGTTCAGCCTGGGGTTCAACAGCCGCAGCAGCAGCAACTGCAGCAGCAGCAACTGCAGCAGCAGCAACTGCAGCAGCAGCCACAGCATCATCATCACCAGCAGCAGCACCAGCCGCAGCCAGCTATGAAACACCACTACCATCCGCAGGTAGGGAGGTCGCCCAATGCTAACATAGTTTAGTTTTCCCCCGGCCCTCGCATGAGCGGGAACAGCACAGACAGTTAAGTGTCGCCCAGAGTGCGGCTGCGGTCACCAATCTCTCACCAGAATAAGTTTAAAGAAGTTTATTTACCGAGTGAATTCCGTTCAGTCTTGCAGATATTTTTTTGCATGCGACTTGGCCAGGAGACAACAGTGGCAGCCAAGTGCTACATATGACAAGTTATCGACCGCATAGTCACATTACCGCCCAATTTTGGATCATTCTCTGGCAGCATCTCAGACTTTGAGCAGGTTAACCCTGCAGCCATTCAATCGCTCACTCACCAATATTAACATGAACATATAAAAACGTTGCTGATCAACTGTCCGCCATATGGAGAGTTTGCCCAAGTCACTCTTGCAAATAAGGCTATCCGGGTTTCTTGAGTTCTCATCTGGAACAGGATACAAAGGAAGAAGGCTCACAATGGTAGAGAGCATATTGCGTTACCCACTGCGTTGCTCGAGTTTTTGCCTTTGTGTGGCCGGCCCAGATTTGGGTCGGGGAGCAAGTGAGCCGAGCAGATAGTGCCTCCTCTCTGTCTGTCTGTCGCTTTGCATGTAGGTGCAACCGTCTGGCCAAGGCTACGCTGGCCATTTGGCCCCACATGCTGGCCCAGGAATGCCAGGAATGCAGGCCGGTAAGCTCTTTTGTCTACTGCATTGGCTCCTAGCAGAACGTTACTAGAGCTGGCTGACACCTTGATGGTGTTTTATCAGATAGCAGTGATAAGAGAAATGGCGGGTGCCAGAGTTGATGTCACTTAAAACATTGTTGTGGTTAATTAACTTGCTTTGGGGAGGGGTCTTTGTGGAAAGTCAGAGGTGACTCCTTGCCATAGGAATTTTGTAATTTCTACCACGGGCTCAGTGCTGCAAATACAAAATAAGCACCGCGTTCTTTTGAGCAGGGAGACGGTGCTTCCTAGTTTCTACGAACTACACAACTCGAGTTTCAACCACAGTTGCTGTCCCGGGATTGCATTTGTTAGATATTGTTTTATCATCTGCAGGATGGAGTCCCGTACCTTCCGGGCCGTTTTGCTTCACGGGTTGGCCTGGGGTTTACTGCTTCGGACTTTTAACGGAGCGGAAAAATACGTTCCCGAATATATGTTCAAAAAAGTATTGTCGACGGGCGGAACATTTGATCTTGCATTCAATTCAACTTTTAACAATTAAAGTCACGTTTTGTTTGCAGCCCGGTATTGCCCTTGGACACGCAAGTACTTCATGGATATAATTATTTCTGAGAGTTGTCTGTCAAACTTACGTGATAAATAAGTCGCCAAATCATTGACACTCCACTATGTTGACCAGCCCGCGTTGCCCTTGAACTCGAGTTCTGCGAAAATTCCGGGGCCTAATCTTCAGGCCCCCTTGAGTCAACTCGAATCAGCCATCCAATGGACACTGGGTACTTGTTGACGTCACTCTCGCTGGTAGCATGACTGTGCGTCCAGTCCGTTCACTGGCGGTTTCCCCCCCCCTCCAGGTCCCGGCGTGGCCTCCGTGGCCCCAAATCCGCCGGGCCCAGGCTTGTTCACTCCGATTTCCGCGCCGCTGCCGGCCGTGGGGCCCATGCAGCCGCCACCACTGTCATCTGCCGTGGGGCCTGGGGCAGGGCCGAACGCGTACTCGCGTGCCGCCGGGCCCAACCAGGCTTACCCACCACACCCCACCATAACCGGTGAAGTGCTGCGTCGTGCACAGCGCTCCCTCTCTGTGTCTTCCTGTCACTCTGTCTTCGTTGGCCTCTTTACATATCTTGCACTCTCTCTGTCTGTCTGGTTACTGTCTTGTATGTATGTTGAACTTCTTTCGCACCATACGTAGACAACTGCTAATGGAGGTGCGGGAGAAGGACAACAAACAAAATACACAGCTCCAGTGGCTTCCTAATATCAGAAGGAAGAGCGTTCCAGATGGCCTGCAGAAGTGCATCTGAAAGCGCGCGATGCAGTGACCGTCTTTAAGCTTTCTGTCTCTTCGTCTTTGTACTTTTGCCTCTAATTGTCGCTCATACTGTGTGTTTCTTCCTCGCTCTGTCTGCCTGCTTCTTTCTGGCTGTCAAATACTCTCATGTGGTCTCTAGTACTCTCATGTGGTCTCTAATACTCTCACGTGATCTCTAATACTCTCACGTGATCTCTAGTACTCTCATGTGGTCTCTAGTACTCTAATGTGGTCTATAATACTCTCACGTGATCTCTAATACTCTCACGTGATCTCTAGTACTCTCATGTGGTCTCTAATACTCTCATGTGGTCTCTAATACTCTCACGTGATCTCTAATACTCTCACGTGATCTCTAGTACTCTCATGTGATCTCTAGTACTCTCATGTGGTCTCTAGTACTCTCACGTGGTCTCTAATACTCTCATGTGGTCTCTAATACTCTCATGTGATCTCTAGTACTCTCACATGATCTCTAATACTCTCACATGATCTCTAATACTCTCACATGATCTCTAATACTCTCATGTGATCTCTAATACTCTCATGTGATCTTTAATACTCTCATGTGATCTCTAATACTCTCATGTGATCTCTAATACTCTCATGTGATCTCTAATACTCTCATGTGGTCTCTAATACTCTCATGTGATCTTTAATACTCTCATGTGATCTCTAATACTCTCATGTGATCTTTAATACTCTCATGTGATCTCTAGTACTCTCACGTGATCTCTAGTACTCTCATGTGATCTTTAATACTCTCATGTGATCTCTAATACTCTCATGTGATCTCTAGTACTCTCATGTGATCTCTAATACTCTCATGTGATCTCTAGTACTCTCATGTGATCTCTAATACTCTCATGTGATCTCTAGTACTCTCATGTGATCTCTAATACTCTCATGTGATCTCTAGTACTCTCATGTGATCTCTAATACTCTCATGTGGTCTCTAATACTCTCATGTGATCTCTAGTACTCTCATGTGGTCTCTAATACTCTCATGTGATCTCTAGTACTCTCATGTGATCTCTAGTACTCTCATGTGATCTCTAATACTCTCATTTGGTCTCTAATACTCTCATGTGATCTCTAATACTCTCATGTGATCTCTAGTACTCTCATGTGATCTCTAATACTCTCATGTGATCTCTAGTACTCTCATGTGGTCTTTAATACTCTCATGTGATCTCTAATACTCTCATGTGATCTCTAGTACTCTCATGTGATCTCTAATACTCTCATGTGATCTCTAATACTCTCATGTGGTCTTTAATACTCTCATGTGATCTCTAATACTCTCATGTGATCTCTAATGCTCTCATGTGATCTCTAATACTCTCATGTGGTCTCTAATGCTCTCATGTGATCTCTAGTACTCTCATGTAGTCTCTAATGCTCTCATGTGATCTCTAATACTCTCATGTGATCTTTAATACTCTCATGTGGTCTCTAGTACTCTCATGTGATCTCTAGTACTCTCATGTGGTCTCTAATGCTCTCATGTGATCTCTAATACTCTCATGTGATCTCTAATGCTCTCATGTGATCTCTAGTACTCTCATGTAGTCTCTAATACTCTCATGTGATCTCTAATACTCTCATGTGATCTCTAATACTCTCATGTGATCTCTAATACTCTCATGTGATCTCTAGTACTCTCATGTGATCTCTAGTACTCTCATGTGATCTTTAATACTCTCATGTGATCTCTAATACTCTCATGTGATCTCTAGTACTCTCATGTGGTCTCTAGTACTCTCATGTGATCTCTAATACTCTCATGTGGTCTCTAGTACTCTCATGTGATCTCTAGTACTCTCATGTGATCTCTAGTACTCTCATGTGATCTCTAGTACTCTCATGTGATCTCTATTACTCTCATGTGATCTTTAATACTCTCATGTGGTCTCTAGTACTCTCATGTGATCTCTAATACTCTCATGTGGTCTCTAGTACTCTCATCTGGTCTCTAATACTCTCATGTGGTCTCTAATACTCTCATGTGATCTCTAATACTCTCATGTGATCTCTAATACTCTCATGTGGTCTCTAGTACTCTCATGTGATCTCTAATACTCTCATGTGGTCTCTAACACTCTCATGTGATCTCTAATACTCTCATGTGGTCTCTAGTACTCTCATGTGATCTCTAATACTCTCATGTGGTCTCTAGTACTCTCATGTGATCTCTAATACTCTCATGTGGTCTCTAACACTCTCATGTGATCTCTAATACTCTCATGTGATCTCTAGTACTCTCATGTGATCTTTAATACTCTCATGTGATCTCTAATACTCTCATGTGATCTCTAATACTCTCATGTGATCTCTAATACTCTCATGTGATCTCTAATACTCTCATGTGATCTCTAGTACTCTCATGTGGTCTCTAATACTCTCATGTGGTCTCTAATACTCTCATGTGATCTCTAGTACTCTCATGTGATCTCTAGTACTCTCATGTGATCTCTAATACTCTCATGTGGTCTCTAATACTCTCATGTGGTCTCTAATACTATCATGTGGTCTCTAATACTCTCATGTGGTCTCTAATACTCTCATGTGATCTCTAGTACTCTCATGTGATCTCTAGTACTCTCATGTGATCTCTAATACTCTCATGTGATCTCTAGTACTCTCATGTGGTCTCTAGTACTCTCATGTGATCTCTAATACTCTCATGTGATCTCTAGTACTCTCATGTCATCTCTAGTACTCTCATGTCATCTCTAGTACTCTCATGTGGTCTCTAATACTCTCATGTGATCTCTAATACTCTCATGTGATCTCTAGTACTCTCATGTGATCTCTAGTACTCTCATGTGATCTCTAGTACTCTCATGTGATCTCTAATACTCTCATGTGATCTCTAATACTCTCATGTGATCTCTAGTACTCTCATGTGATCTCTAATACTCTCATGTGATCTTTAATACTCTCATGTGATCTCTAATACTCTCATGTGATCTCTAATACTCTCATGTGATCTCTAATACTCTCATGTGATCTCTAATACTCTCATGTGATCTCTAATACTCTCATGTGATCTCTAGTACTCTCATGTGGTCTCTAATACTCTCATGTGATCTCTAATACTCTCATGTGGTCTCTAATACTCTCATGTGATCTCTAATACTCTCATGTGATCTCTAATACTCTCATGTAATCTCTAGTACTCTCATGTGATCTCTAGTACTCTCATGTGGTCTCTAGTACTCTCATGTGATCTCTAATACTCTCATGTGATCTCTAATACTCTCATGTGATCTCTAATACTCTCATGTGATCTCTAATACTCTCATGTGATCTCTAGTACTCTCATGTAATCTCTAATACTCTCATGTGATCTCTAGTACTCTCATGTGATCTCTAATACTCTCATGTGGTCTCTAATACTCTCATGTGATCTCTAATGCTCTCATGTGATCTCTAATACTCTCATGTGGTCTCTAACACTCATGTGGTCTCTAGTACTCTCATGTGATCTTTAATACTCTCATGTGATCTCTAATACTCTCACGTGATCTCTAGTACTCTCATGTGGTCTCTAGTACTCTCATGTGGTCTCTAGTACTCTCATGTGGTCTCTAATGCTCTCATGTGGTCTCTAATACTCTCATGTGGTCTCTAATACTCTCATGTGATCTCTAGTACTCTCATGTGATCTCTAGTACTCTCATGTGGTCTCTAATGCTCTCATGTGATCTCTAATACTCTCATGTGATCTCTAGTACTCTCATGTGATCTCTAATGCTCTCATGTGATCTCTAATACTCTCATGTGATCTCTAGTACTCTCATGTGATCTCTAGTACTCTCATGTGATCTCTAATACTCTCATGTGATCTCTAATACTCTCATGTGATCTCTAGTACTCTCATGTGGTCTCTAGTACTCTCATGTGATCTCTAATGCTCTCATGTGGTCTCTAATACTCTCATGTGGTCTCTAATACTCTGATGTGGTCTCTCTACACCTCTCAATGTCGCCGACACAGCCCTTTGTCATTAATCTCGGACATTATATGCCTTTGACCAAATCACTGCGAAGCAAGTCTGGCCCTTGCTTCTATTGTAGGGATGAAACGACTAGTTGAAAAACTCAATTAAATTTGATCTTTAAGCTGGTGGTAAATGCATTGAGTCAACGTGTAAGAGAGCCGATTGATTACATTCTTTGCAGTATGATACTGTACCTGTACCGCAAGGGAAAACCAGTTGATTCCAAAATCGGATCTTGACCGCTCATTGACGACGTTATCAAATTGTGGGGCCGGTCGGTCGATACATCCCGAGCATTTTGCATGCTGCCTGTGACGAAACCAGCTGGAATGTGCCCGATCTCATCAGATCTCGCAAGCTAAGCAGACTTGAGCATGGATATTTCTTGGACAGGGTGACCTGCGCGCACGCTAGGTTATCGCAGGTGGCTCTCGAGCCGTGCGGCCACGTGTCGGGCAACGGAGGGCAGTTGAGCACAATCCATTGCTGTACTGTACTTCTATGCTCTCGCAGCTATGCTGGCCCACCTTTACCAAACCGCACTGACCACGTAACCCCGGCCGACCGCACCACAGCATTGGTGGTGGGGGGGGGGGGGGGGCGGGCAATGGATTGAGAGAAGGGGCCGCCCGTCTACCCGTTTGCACGCTAACCCCCCGCACTCCTCTGCATCCCCTGACCCCCCCCCCCACCCCCCCTCTTGTCCGTCGCGTGCGCGTCCTGTACGCCCTCTTTGCCCCCCCCCCCCCCCCCCCCCCGACGCCGCTCAACGCAAATCTCCCCAGGCTTCCAGCAGCCGATGCAGCAGCAACCGCTGCCGGCGCCGATGCCGGGGCCGTCACCGCACGGCGTCCCCCACTTCCCCGGCCCGTCTTACCACCCGGCCCCCGCGCCGGCGCCCCCCCTCGGCCCCCAGTCCTCCTACCCCTCGGCCGTGCCGTCGGACCCCCATGGCGGCGGCGCGATGCACGCCCACCACCTGCCCGTCGGTGCCGCTCCCGGCGCCGTGGCAGGCCCCCAGCAGCACGGCTTCCCTGGACACCCAGGCCAGATTTTCACTCCAGGAGCTCCTTACTCTAGCATGGCCCCTGTTCCTCCTCCTGCTGCTGCTGCTGCTGCTGCTACTTTGCAGCATGCAGGTATGGCTGCCGAGTCGTCGAGTGTCGAGTGCTTCTGCCACTAACGCACGGTAGCCGCCAGAGCGTGGTGTTGCGGGCTCTTGTCAAGTGCAGGCCTGCAGTGCTGCCGGGTTTGGCGTCGCCAACCGCCGTTCATTGCATTGGAAATCTAAGTAAAGCGGGGCTCCTAACTGCTGGCCAGCGGCACGCTTCTGACCCACAAAGACTCTTCAAGAGTGTTTGCTGCCCGAATGGTTTGTTTATTTGTTGGAATATTTCACCTGGAAAAGCCCTTGAGATGGGAGACGTCTCATTTGCAAGGGCGCATGACAATCACATAATTACACAAATAAAAACGTTGTAAATCTGACTGGCCCACGGAGACATATGACTGACTGAGGCAATGACAGGGATGATACAGATTATTGAGACTAAATAGTGATTAAACAAGAGATTATTATTATGCTCGTTTATATAGGAAAGCCTCACCGAGTCTCAACTTGTTGAGGAGGTTCTCGCAAAGTTTTGACAGCCGGGAGCGATGTTGCTGTGCACAATCCCAATTGAGTGGTTTGCTGGTCATTTTTCAGGTTTGGGATTTTTCTTTGGTCAAAACCAGATCCGTTGTATGTTTTTTTGTTAATTTACGCTATGTGAGGATATCCGAGAATGCGGAGGAAATCCATGCAAAATGGGAAGAACATACAAACCCATGGAGAACAGGGGGAGAACATACAACCCCCCCCCCCCCCCCCCCCCCACACAGAAAGGCACCCGAATCAGGGATCGAACCCAGGTCCTTCTTCCTGTGACGCGCGAGTGTTTCCACTGTGCCACCCTGCCACCCACAGAGATGAGAGAGCCATAGATAAGAGATCAAGATTAGTGAGATGAAAGTAAGATCAACAAGAGAGGTGAGAGACCAGGAGGCCAGAGGTACATGTTAGTGGTCACTTGTACAGACGTTGACTTCGCTATACCGTATGTGCACGTGACGTATGATATCATTTGCCCATCTTTCACACGTTTATTATGTGGCTCATGGCGGAGTTGTGATGGAACTTGCTACAAAACAGCAAATGTATATTTTCAATTGACTGATGGTAAACGGTAAGACTTGCAGTGTTATTTTATTGAATGTCATAAAATCTGTCATAAAATCTAAAGCCCAAAGGTTAGCATTGTTAGGTTGTTTTGTTTAATCACAGCTGGTGATTGTAATATATTATAGTGGTGATGGGGGTGGTGGGTGCATTTCTGTAGCCATTGTTATGGTGGTGGTGGTGGGTGTCTTGGTGTTTGGTAGTGTGGTGTTGGTGACCAAGATAATTGTGCTGCTGTTGATGTAATTTGTTAACATCCACAGTTAAAAAAATCACGCTACGGTGATGAATGTGTGGGCCACAGAGCATTGTGAGATAAACTCGCATTATAAACCCATTCCCTACGTATTTGTCAGTAACTTTGAGATGCTGTAGCATCTTCACTATTTACCCTTGCATCGTTCAAGTCCAGCAGGGCGTCTGTGGAGTCGTTTCCCGTTTCTGGCTGCCAGCTTTTAAAGCTCCAAGGTGGAAGTGCTTTAAGGTTTCATCCACAAGACTATTAGAGGATTCATAACTGCTCTGTGGCCACACTAACCTAATGGTAGTTCTCTATAGCTAATGCTGCTTTAGTGTTTCAGTCCCATTGATGATGATGGAAGCGGTGGTGTCGGGAGGAGGGATCGAGGCAGCCGGGCTGAGTGCTGGCCTCGCCACACGCTCAAGGGGCAGTGCCACCCTTTTGTGCGCCCACGCTTTCTCACCGCGCTTACGTTCTGTATTGCCTTACATTCTGCTAGGATAAACAGTGGGACCTGTGTCTCCGCTGGTGTGGTTTTATAACTCCCTTTTTGAGGATGAGGACTTCCGTTGTTTTTCCACTGGTCCGCGTGCGCTTTCCTCCCCATCCAGCAGGCGTACAGGACGGCTGGAACGATCCTCCGCCCTGCGTGAGGCAAGGCGGCCGCCGCAACAAGGTATGCGTGTGTGGGCCCCTTTTTTAATTGATTTGGTTTCATGAATGGGCAGGTGATGCGTGGAAATAATCTCGGGCAGGTGGTTAGGTCTAACCAGGGCTTAGGCCCTCCACCCCTCCCCCGCAAACTGCAGAGCATGCGGTAGACTGGCGCAGTCGGTGAATCCGTCCCCCTCGGGGCTTGTGCTCTGCTTGTGGTAACTGTGGTTTTCACGAAAAATTCAAACGTCGTTGAAACGAAGAATATATTTGCCCGCCACCTATGCATCCCTCATGGGTAATTTCACGAAGGGGAAACTTGGTACGGCCTGTTCTCCTAATACGCGGTAGTAGTTGCGTTCCTGAAGAACACCGCGCTATCGAAAAATTTGGTGATAATAAATATGATATAGTATCGGGTAAAGCACAGTCCACGATAACACGTGAGATGCGTACTCAGGCTGAACAAAGACTGAGGAGTGGCTTGCGTCTAGAAGCATCCAGCAGCATCCCGGATGCTTTGTGTGATGCTACGCCGAGGCAGCATTACGACGGCTTATTGCTACTCGCGTGATGTAGGTCCATTCACTTCGATTGCGTTATATCCAATTTGCATCCACATAAAAAAAAAATGTGTTCCCTAATACATTCACCGCGTTATATCCAATTAGTGTTATGAAAACACGCGTTATAGAACTGACTGGCCTTTTATAATAGTGGATGTCATGAAAGTAATTTGCTGCAGCTGAGTAGTTACATTGACGAAGTTAGCCTTTTAACTCTTGTGATGTTTCACGCTTGACGTTTCGAGCATTCGCCGTCTGGGCCCCCCCCCCCCCCCCCCCCGGTGGGTTTTTTTGTGCCGCAGCTGCCGGAGAACTACGTGCCGCCGGCGCCCATCACTGCGCCCGTGTTCGGCGTGGCCCCGCTGGAGCCCCAGGGTGGCGCTGCCCAGGCGTCCCACGCGCACGAGCCGAGCCAGGGCCCGCCCGGGGCCCCCACTGAGGCGTCTGTGCAGGTAGGGCACCAGCGCTTGCTTGGCCGGCAGTCGCCCGCGGCCGCCAGCCGACAACACAAATGTTTACGTAATGAAGCTGTAAATTAAGTGATATAAGTTGTCATTGCATGCGATTCATATTCTTGGTTCTTTCGGTAAAGTCACATAGAAGGGAAACAATAAAATAATAAAAATGTTTTATTGTTTCCCTTCTAACCAAGAATATGAATCCCTGCAGTCAATGAAAGCTTTAAATCAAAAGCTGCATGCGATTGTTATGGATAATACATTGCTGAAGGCAAAATTATTCATTTAAAATTATATAAAGAGTTTTGGGATCGCAAGCTGTGAAAACGATATTAACACGCGTCGATGTGAAGTTATTTCATTAAGAGGTAGACAAGTCTTGATTCGAAGCTTTCGTGACTGCAGGAGTCCAAACTCTTTGGTTGTTTCGGTAAAGTCACGTAGGTAGAAAATCAAATAAACCATGCTTTCCCACCTGATGACGGACGCTTGTGTTGTGCCCGAAACGTCGTGATTAATTTTATTTTATACCTACGTCACTTTACTGAAAGAACCAAAGAGAAAGCTAGACAAGCATAACTTGAAGCACTGGGATGCGGTTGTGGTGGTGAAGTCATCGGCGACTGGGGCTGAGGCTTTGGCCACGCTGCACTTGAGAATCGCGGGCGGCTGCCTGGATTCGAACCCAGGTTTTCTCAACGGTGGCCACTCTGACCTCCTTGAAACAGCCGGCCACCTCTAACGTCCTCCATTCTACAAACTAAACGATCTCGCCAGGGGAGGCAGGGTGATGGGGGTTGTGGAGTCTCGCGCAGATGCCTGATGTTACTCCTGTATTACTATTTGGTTCTTTCGGTAAAGTCACGTAGAAAGAAAGTAAATTAAATAATGGAATACATATTTAATTTATTTTCTTTCTACGTGACTTTACCGAAAGGAGGGCCGAGTGTTATTTTCTTCTGAAATTTTGCAGAGTTGTACTGATACAATGGGGCTTATTGGCAAGGCGATGTGTTTTTTAAACGCTTTTTCCAGATGTGAATCTGGCCCAAGAGTACTTCCTTGCTCAAATCTTCAAGGGGTTATGGCTCACGTCCACTGCTGCCCCTGAGTTCGTGGAACTTCTGTACACCGGTGTATGTTTATGAGGATCACTCTGCAATCACAATGACTCGCTACCCCGGAGAGGTGATGGGCGTACGAGTGGAAAACACTCAAACGTCTGCACCTGGCGTGTCACGTGCCCACCCGCTCTACTGTTAATGTCCTGGCCACCTCGCAGATCTCGAAACAGGCGTTGCATTTGACGGCAAGTACCAGTGAACGCGCTAGTGAGAGACCGTCTTAACGGCGGACAAATGTCACCGCCCGCACCCTCCCTTGCGCGCAGCCGCTGCAGTCGCTGCCTGCGGAGAAGATCGTGAAGAAACCCATCCCCGAGGAGCACGGGGTGCTCAAGGTGGTGTTTGACGGCCTCGTGCAGCGCTGCCTGTCCGCTTCCACGGACCCCGTGAGTTCCGCACGTTCATGCACATCTCTTGGGGCGCCCGCTCGCACGCGCGCACCGCCGAGCATGCGCGCGCTCGCATGCGTGATGTGCTCGGGCACTGGCAAGCCTGCGCGTGTTATCGCCCTTTTGCCGTTCCAAGACGTCTGCGAGTTGCAGGGTGGGGTCCCGTTCACCGCTGAATCTTGGAACGCGCAAGTGGTTAGCGTTCATTTTATTTAGAGAGGCTTAGCGCCGTGGTTTTTAAAGACATTGTGCTCACCGCAGAGAACTGTAGCAACACGACCGCACTCTATGATAGCTGGGCGCCAAACTGTGCTACGCGCCCTCCCGCACGGCCTTGTGGGAGCCTCGATACATCTTCGACCTGAAGACGTACCGATAAAGTTATTTTATTTTGGAAGAAAAACTTATCACGTACACGTACGTCATTAGAGTGGGAAAGGATTAACGAGAGCTGAACAAAACGTTACTCTTGGTCTGCGGCTGCAGAGGTGTGTTGATTTGTATTGGAATGGGATGCTTATAACGCCAACATAATGTATTGAATTGCCTGCGTGATAATTGTAATGATTTGCAATCCTTTATCGGTCCACTGATGGATGAAGGCCTCCCCCGCACCTTGTCGGTCATGTTTGATCATACTTCGCCGTGCTGGTCAGTGCGGGTTGGTTACGTGGGGTGGGGGAACAAAGGATAAATTCAGATGTCGCTGTGCTCTTAGCTGGCCGGTATTCGAACTCGGATCGCCGGGTTAATCAAGGTGGTGTTTGAAGTGCAGTACTCTAACCACTCCACCCAACTTACTTGATTTGTGTATGTACTGTATGTTGATCTTCTTTCGCACTGTATGTAGCTAACCGTGCTAATTGGAGGTGTGGAAAGACATCAACCTTAACACAAAAGCAATTATAAAGAAATTAGTTTTCAATCTCGATTTAAAAGTGCATAGCTCCATTGGCTTTCGATTATTTATCGGAAGGAAGAGCATTCCAGACGGCCGCAGAACCACATTTATTGATCAGGTAAAGCCCACTAAGCTATTCGGACTATTTCAGAGGTGATCTGGCCGCACATGATCATAGCTCATTGAAGTGGCTTGTATGATACGTGGGAATTTATAGCAGCAGCTAAATAATCTAAACGCACGTTTTTAAATGTGGAGGAGGCCACAAACAGGTACCCGGAGATAAATCAACACGACCAGCACGGGGAGAGAGAACACACGAACTCCAAACATACAACAGGCATCGTCAGAGTCACATAGTTAATGCCAATGGCTCACTACTCAAATGGGTGTGTGGCTGAGCTCATCTGAACCGGTGGTTACTTACACAGTTTTTTTTTAATTTGGCGACCACTGTTCATTTCCAATAAAGTGGTACTCATGGTTCTCAGCTCTGGGGGGGATGATGGCCCGGAGTCGGATTTGAGCGTAATTGGTTGCGTCTGACGCGCAATGCCACGACGTCTTTTGCCCGCAGCAAACGAAGAGGAAGCTGGACGATGCGACGAAGCGGCTGGAATACTTGTACGACAAACTCCGAGAGCAGACGGTGCGTGTTACCCAACCCCCGCTGTGTGTGTGTGTGTGTGCGCGAGTTGGGGGGAGCGGGAGTGTCTCAGCTAGCGCGCTGCGCTACAAACTCGGCGGTCCGTGTTCGATTCCCGCTCAAGGCTGACACGAGTGACTTCTATCGGAACCTGTCCTGGGCCTCGCCGAGGTCGACTCGGGCTCAAATGAGTACCTAGTGCGGTACATAAATATCGCTACTAGGGAGACAAAGGCGGCCGAGCATAGTGCTGGCCATTCACCCCCTCTTGTGCTGTGCCGGCCTTCATAGGTGTTCTCTTAAAAGCACTTGCCCCAAAAGTCTGTCAAGGCTATATGGGGGGTTTTGTCTTTGTGCGAGTTGGAAGCTGCAGTTGTAGTATCCATCACCAGCCCATCATCTTCTCCACTCTTGAATTATTTCTCCCCGAGCCGTAACTATCTCTTTACCGTCTCGCGAACAATCAACCTTGCACCTGCACATGAACTCATTTCATATCACCATCTCCCCAGTGAACGTCCTCTAGGGCACGTGGATAGAATAAATACAAATAATAAAATAAAAATGTAAAAATAAGAAATTTCAAATAATTAAAGCAAAAGGACCCACGACGTTTCGATCGCAACCCAAAGCGGTCTTCATCAGGCGGAGAGATAAGAGGGGGGAGCCTGCTAATGCCGCTGCTTCTAAGGGGTTCCAAAGTGAGTGGGTGGGGGACGAGAGCTGGGAGGGGAGAGCTGCAAGGTGCAATACAAACGTCGTGGGTTTTTTTGCGTCAATTTCAGTTTATTATTTTTATTTGTAATTTTAATTACAATTTATTATTTTTATTTGTAATTCTAATTACATTTCATTATTTTTATTTTCTATCTACGTGACTTTATCGAAATAATTCCTGCAGTCACGAAAGTTTTAAGTCACAAGTTCTCTAGGGCGTGTTTCCCTCCTTTGGCCGCCAGTCTATTGTTCGTCTTGACCCCCCCCCTCAGTCCTCCATCCCGTATGGAGCGTGAAATTCCACGTGGTTACGGCAGGGACTTTTCTTTCCATAGAGCAATTATTTTCTACAAAGGGGTAGAAACCCCACTGGGATGCGGTTGTGGTGAGAATCGCAGGCGGCTGCCTGGATTCGAACCCAGGTTTTCTCAACAGTGGCCGCTCAGCGCTCTGACCTCCTTGAAACAGCCGGCCACCTCTAACGTCCTCCATTCTACAAACTAAACGATCTCGCCAGGGGAGGCAGGGTGATGGGTGTTGTGGAGTCTCGCGCAGATGCCTGATGTTACTCCTGTGTGTGTGTGTGTTTATACTATACAAAAATAAAACACTTTTATTTTACCAAGTAAGGCCCACTGAGCTACTATACAGCTCTTTTTCAGAAATGACCTGACCGCAAATGATAGCCCAACGAAGTGGCTTATCGTGTGGAGATGTATTGCAGCCAAATACTGTAAATGCACGTTTCTAAATGTTGAGGGAAAAACCGAAGGACCTGGATTAAAATCCATGCGACCACGGAGACACACGCAAACTCCAATTAAACAACAGTCGGGATCGAACCCACGACCTCCTGTATATCAGGCGAGGTAGTTAACATCTCGCCACCGTGGCGCCCGCGAAGTCTAATACGTCCATCTTTGCCCCCATCCCCGCGTCGTCTCGCCACAGCTGTCGCCGCACATCTTGGCGGGCCTGCACGAGATAGCGCGGCGCGTGGAGGCGCGCGACTACCCACAGGGCCTGGCCGTGCACACGCAGGTGGTGAGCAGCAGCAACTTCAGCGAGATCTCCGCCTTCATGCCCGTGCTCAAGGTCGTCGTGACCATCGCCGGCAAGCTCAACATTTAGGTGGCCTTGGGGGACGCGAGAGGATCGGGGGGCCCCCCACGGCCTCGCCGACCAGGCCGGGTTTCAACGCTCTCCCCGATCTTAGCCGGGAGGTGGCCGCCGCTCGCTCCGATCTGTGGCCAGAACAACGTAGCCCGACCATCTCGGCATCTGTTCATCGTGCGTGTGACCGGTGTGCGGTAGGCTTTGCGGCTGTCGTTGTTTGTGCGTGCTTGTGTGCGTGCGGTTGGTTTTGCAACAGTTTAGCAATGTCGGTGTCTGCTCTCACCGCCTGCTTGGAACGAGTTATCTGCAAAGGTCTGACCAGTTTGTGGCCAGCTCATTTGGGCTTTTAATCTCCTCAACACCAGTCCCGGACCTGCTCAAGTTCCACGTGGCCAGTTTCAGTGTCTCTAGCCAGCTCGACGAGCAGTGTTAGCCATCGCCATTACGGTGAGGCTAGCAGCTGTGTGACAAGGCCAACATCTTTGCATTCAAGTTACCAAATTTCCACGTGTACATTAAAAAAAAAAACGCTTATATTTATGAAATCTACCGTTGCGGGTGAACGACGGTGTGCTTGATTCCATCCTCGTGCACGGCAGCGTTTGGTTGTAATTGCAGTCGGCGGTCGGAGCAGACTCTTCAGCGCAGACAGGCGCCACCTCACCTGGTGGAAATTAATGTTGGTCATTTGAGTTGTTTTTTTGTCTCTGCACGAGTAGTTGCCTTGCCTGGCTGTCACCTTGTGAGCGCCGCTTGTCTGGCTGCGGTCTGTCTCGTGGCCAGCTTGGCAAAGATCCACGTGGCTGGCTGCTGATGAGAGCAGTCTATGTTCATCGCTCCCTCCCTGCCTCCCTCCCTCCCCTCCCTCGCCTCCCTCCCTCGCCTCCCTGCCTCCCTCCCTGCCTCCCTCGCCTCCCTGCCTCCCTCCCTGCCTCCCTCCCGTCACACCCAGTTGCTTTCTCCCCCATTGCTCAGCATTCCTCGTCGTCACTCCCCGACTCCAGTGCGCAATTAGGTGGCGGTAGACAAAAAACCCAATTGCACTCCACACACATACACACACACACATACAAAGACCCCACGTATAGCCTCAACAGACTGTTGGGGCAAGTGCTGTTAGCGAGTAGCACGTCTGAAGGCTGAACCTGCGGACGAGCGGGCGGGTGGCCAGCACCACGCCCGGCCGCATGTGTCTCCTGAGTGGCGATGTTTACACATCGCACCAGGTACTAACATAAGGCTGAGTCGACTCAGGGGGAGGCCATGTCTATTCAGATAATCACCGATGTTAGCCATGGTGCCCTGGTAGCTGTAGCCATCGGGGTGCTGCAGTGGCAAGATGTTAACTCCCTCGCCTGGTATGCAGGAGGTCGTAGGTTCGTTCCCGACTTGACACTTTTATATTTGGAGTTTGCGTCTCTCTCCCCAGTGGTCGCGTGGATGTTTCTCTTTTCCCTCCACATTTATAAACATGCGTTTAAGAGTATTTGGCTATTATAATTTTTCACACGATAAGCCAATTTGTTGAGCTATGATTTGTAGCCAGGTCGCTTCTTAAAAAGAGCTATACAGCTCTGTGGGCCTTACCTGCGAAAAATAAAAAATAAAAGTAGGAATATAACGTAGGTCGCTGAGTTCGTAGCGCAGTGCATCAACCACTACACTTTCGCACCCCACACACACGCACTCAACAGCATGCGTGCACGTGTGTATGCTTGCACAGGTGTTAACATGTGTTTGTACGTGTACACAGATATGCACACTCGCGCATGCACATGCATGTGTACGCACACGTTCACCCACACACGTACATCACAAGATGATTTTATATGTTCACTCAGTAGCTGTGTGTCCAGCAACCGTAAGCCAAATTTTATTTACCTTCAAATACATTGGTTTATTGGTTGACGAATGAAGGTGTGATAGAAATATAATAAAACGATTGTGAACATTTAAAATAAATGCTTTTGACAGCGTTGAGAAAATAAAACTGTAGTCGATCACGTAAATGTTGAGATGGTCTAAATTAAGGCAACGTTGCCGCTGTGCCGTCGGCATTTGCCGCTGTTGGGGGCAGCTGGCGGCAAGCGTGCACTCAGGCCCCGGTCGGCGTGGGTTTTTATTTAGTGACAGCTTTTGAAACGAAGTTTCCTTGGGGTAAAGCGCGGCGGCGGCGGCGGCAGTGTTAATTAGCGAAAGCAGCGTGGACCAAGGTCTCTTAGGGACCGCCGATTGTACTGCTCGTCTTGCGCAATATTAGCACTGTGCTGTGTTTTATGAGATGATGAACATGGACAGGAAAAAAAACGTGGCGGGCTGCCTTGCGTTCTGTTTTCTTGGTGCGTTGCGTGTCTGTCCGTCCCAGAGCTCCTCTTCGGTAAGGGAAGTCGCACAATGCAGCCTCGGTTGCCTGTATTGTTTATTTAATGTCAAGACCGCAGCACTTTGTCGGCCCAATGCAGGTCACTTGAGGGCCTCCCTCATGCCGTATTGATCGTGGGGGGGTTGATTGACCATACAGCATCACGCTGGCGAGTGTGGCTTGGTGAAGGCCAGGACCCAAGAACCGGTTCAGATATCACTCGCCACTGATGCAAACGGTGGCGAATCCAAACTCGGTTCTCCCGGGTCCGTAGCGCCGTTTGCGAATAGCTCCGTCGGCACTCGCCCCACGTGTTTATTAACACGAGCACATTTGACGCTCGTGCCAAATGCCCCAAAAGTAAAATGAAAGAATCAAAACATTCCACTGCTACATCTCGGTCGAGGTTATTGGCATGTGACTTGAGAAATGAAGGTAACCCCCATGGGGGACAAAGTCGTTTGATAAATAGGAAATGGCACTGCTAGGCACGTGCAAAGGCCTGTCCAGTAATAGTTGACGTTGGGCAATTCCGTACAGTCTTGTACATTTATTTTTCTTGATTAAGTCAGTCATCCAAATTCAGTGTCCTGTATGTGTATCACTGACTCCTATTAAACCAAGTGACTCAATAGTAATCTTTTATCATTTAGCAGCTGGCACACGTTCGTTCGAGATAGGTTACCGTGCACTGATTGGGTAATATATTCCTTGGCAATGACCTGCAACATCGAATAGGTTTTCACTTAAATACGACTGCTCAAGTCCAGGTAATACCCGACTTGTTCTCAGGCAGTGTTCTTCATTGCAAGGCCCGCGGGCCACTGGCAGCCCCTGGTGGCCTTAGTGCGGCCCCCGACACTACACAAATCGTGAAAACACCTCTTGTAGGTGGTGTGGCAGCTCTCACACTGACGATGTCTTATCGGCGAAAGTGGCCCCCCCTACAAAAATTAGTGACGGTATCCCCGGAGTCCTTGGTCAACGTCGAGAGGTCATCAGTGGATGCCGTCGATCACACCACACCACATCACCATCGCTTCTACTGGATCGGCGCCTGCTGTGGTCGACCTCCATAGGGGTCGGCCGCTGTTGTGGTCGATCCCCTGACCTCCTGGCTACCATGCTTTCACTCATCGCCAACGCCGCTGCCATCTGACTTGAGATCTTCCCATTGGTCCCTGACTTCCTAGCTACCATGCTTTCACTCATCGCCAACGCCGCAGCCGTCTGACTTGAGATCTTCCCATTGGCCCCTGACTTCTGAGGGTCACTCCATTGCCCGTCTTGGTGAGCTGTCCTCCTCCACCCTGCACACGTGCCTCACCCAGCACCACCACCTCTCCCGATTACACCGTCCAAGGAATTGGGGTCATAGGGTACGTTTGTATTAAACAAATCGGAGACAAGAGTTTTAAACTGCAAAAATATTGTACTTCAAAAAAACATCACTGCAACAACCACAACTAGTAAACTATACAGTAGTGAATGAATACAAAAATATTTAAAGCTTTCGTACTGGAAAGACCTTAACATGAGAATGAGGTTGAAAGGCTCTCGGTCCGGTCAGTAACCGTTCAATGTAAACTTACGGGACAGGAAAAGAACAGCATAAATTATTAAACCGACAAAATCTATGAATTGCTAACCACAATAATAATAATAATACTGGAGCAAATTGAAAAGTCACTCTTACGCTTGCACATCAATCATATACGTTTTGGTGTGAAAGGCACAAAGTTAATGGCTACACGTGAAAAAAAGCACTGCGATTCGCATGCGCTATTTAGAACGATCCTTTCTGTTGACCAATCGCTGGTTCGGTCCCCTTGGGCCGTCTGCCACGCCAAGCGTTGACGTCGCAGCGTCTCAAAAGAACATTGGCGTGCAGTGTTCGTCGCTTGTGTTGGCGACCCTGAACCAGCGATTTCAATTCCACACATCCGGTGCCAAAGGACAGTATCAACGTTTGTTAACCACCGTGCTCAAAGTGGTACGCACTGATTCGCACAGGGATCCTAAAGCCACAAGCTAGAATATATGCAGAGTACTTCAAATAATTTTTAACACTTCTGAGAACTTGCGACAATACCGCAATAAATGATTTTTGTTTTCTATCTACGTGATTTTACCGAAAGAACCAAGAATATGGGTCCCATATGAGTTTTAACATTTTTTTGAAGCACCCTGTTTATTTGCACTACCAGCTGATGATTTGGCCAGGTAGTGCTTTCGTAAGAGTGCTTAACTCAGAATTGTAAGGTTACAATTTCAAATTCTGGTTGGAGTTCAACCCGACCCATTTTCACCATGGGTTTGATAAAATGAGTTCTCACTGTGGGACGCTATTGGTAGTTGTTACATCTACAGACCAGCGCCTACCATGGGAATGTGGGTTTCTTTCTCCAACGCCTCGTTGAGACAAGTTGTTTGAACACTTGCCAAGGCGAACAAAACATTTGACACGGCCCATGTTAAAGGCAGAGCAGTCATCATGAAGGTGGCAATTGACGAGGCACGTGTGGAGTTTGCCGGTGGCTGTTTTCCCAGCCAATTCCGTGCCTATAATAAAAATGCCAATATAACATTTTCACCGAGTGTCAAATGCCCGTTGGCTATTTTGGCCCTGTTCCGACTGATGGATGTCGGGTCCTGTTTTCTTATAAGATAATTTCAATAAAAAACATTTTTTAATCTCAAAAGTTGGACAATGATGCTGCTTGCCCACGCCAAAATGTTTTTTTTTTCTTGGGGTTTACAATTGGCGTCTTAAAAGGCGGCGATGCCTCTTTGAGTATTCACGAAGGCAGTGGTTTGAACACGCCGCACGAGTTAACAACAGCTCAGGGTTCAACTCCTGACATCAGTTCCTCACGTCCAAACCTGGTATGGGTTTCCCAAGGTTGACGTGGCTTAAAATGAGGACTAGGTGCAGTGTGGCCACCCTACTCGTTCATGTGTCATAATGGCAAGACTTTGAAAAATATTACAACTAAAGCAAAAGCAGAGGCAACATTTAAAAACACACCGATATCAACCACTGGTGGCTTCCTACAAAGTAACGCTCATTTGTATTAACCTCGTAAGAATGATGAGCGTAGAGTACACGGCGGAATGATAATGTGTCTCCACGTTCATAACCCAGCAACTCGCCCGAATTGAGCCGCTGGTGGGACTTGACATTCAACAGTCATCCATCCGTGCTGTAGAGAATTTGTTCTCCCATCACGGATAAAGTGGAATCTCCACCATGGGCTCAAGGACCAGCAAGACAAAACGTACATCGCCCCAGTGCTTGTGAGTGGCATTATTGTAACTTCCTGACATATCGGTTCATTGCCTGGTCTTTCTCATGAAGTCTTATTTGCTACGGCCTGCGAGGCCGCATTGGGCTTCCTGTTGCGACCCCTCTGCTGCTGCTGCTGCTGCTGCCGTGCGCGTGGCCTCTTCTTTCCGGGCGCCCTGCCCGAAGCCTCGGGACGCCCGCACCGGAACTTGCTGTGCACGCTGGTGCACTGCTGGCACGACACGCGGCAGCACCACGTGAAGGAGCAGTTGCAGGGGCTGGTGACCCTGACGCGCCGCTCCAGCACGCGCAGCCCGCAAGCCGTGCACAGCCGCTCGCAGCTGTCGTCCTCGCCGGCGCCGCCGCTCCCGCGCCGGCACTCGCGTCCCAGCGTGCCCGGCGCGCCCAGAGATTCGTTGCGCCGGCAGTAGTCGGGCGAGTCCTCCAGGAAGGCCAGGCCGTCGGGCTCCAGCAGGCGCAGGGCATCCTGGGCGGCGGCGGCGGCGGCGGAAGCGTGCGGCGAGTGGTGCGACGCTACCGGGCCGGCTCGTGCTCCGTTACCGCCGCCGGCCTCGCGGGGGGCTCCAGCGGTGCCGGCGGCCGCGGCTCCGTGCGTGGCGACGACGGCGCTCGCGCTGTTGGCGGCGCGGAGGAGGTCGAGGCGAGCGGCGCGGCGGTAGCGCTCCTTGAGGTGGGCGCCGACGCGGCTCAGCTCGGAGAGCTGCTGCCAGCACGTCTGCAGGGTGCAGCTGCCCGACACGCCGTGGCACTTGCACACGTGGCCCATGGTGGCCCGCACGGCCTGTGTGTGCACACGCACGCACAGGCACAATTCTCGTCAAGGAGCATGAAAGCGTCACGTGATCTCCGGTCATCCTCGCAGCGGCGGCTTTTGGCTGGCCAGGGATCCGAGACAGTCACTGCATCGCACACGCTTTCAGAGTCACTTCTGTGGCCATCTGGAACGCTCTTGCTTCTGATATTAGGAGCTATGCACTTTGAAATAATCTACATTGAAAACTAATTTCTTTAGAACTGCTTTTTGTGTTTAGCTTGTTGTCCTTCCCCCGCATCTCCGATTCGTACAGTTGGCTACGTACAGTGCAAAAGAAGTTCAACACAATACACCCCGGTCAGTGGCTGACTCTCGGCCCATCGTCCCATTAGAATGGGTCGAGTGAGTACCACTTTGCGGAAGCCAGCCGGTTATCCTATGGATCGACTTCTCTCCACCACTGGCTCATGGGCAGTGCCTCGGAGTATGGCGATTGCATTTCCTGTTATAAGTTTTCTGACGTCCTTGAGCTAATTCAAGACATTTCTACGAACAACAAAATAACTTTCGTATTCGGGAAATGTATTTTTTTCAACAAATCACTTTCGTATTCGGGAAATGTGTTTTTTTATCTACAAGTACAATCATTGTTAAAAACAAGAAGGGTACAGCTCACTAAAGATCTCCCTTTAGTGCGTTTTAAACAATGGGTTCCCACCCCCACCCCGAGACCGTTTGTTTATCTCTGGTGGGATCCTGGCATTCAAACCCTGGCCCTCAGCTGTGCCAGCCAGGCACCCTGTCGGGATTGTGGCGTTCCCCCCACCCCACCCCCTGATGTTTCCTCCGTTGGCCTCCTGATGGGGCGCGGATATCATAGCTCATCCCGTGGTGTCGTGGGGGTCAGGCCAGGGTGAGCGACGGTCGTCTTTTACCTGCCCATCAAACCGTGCCACTGTTTCCTACCGCTTAGCCTCTTCTGCCAGTCCATCTGGCCAGGGGTGGCAGGGTGTGGGGGGTGGTGGTGGTGGGGTCTCGCGGAGTGCAGACACCAGATGTTACTCCTGCGTGTGTGTGTTATTAAAGTATAAAAACTTAAACTTTTTTTTTTATTTTAGCAGGTAAGGCCAACTGAGCTATGTAGCTCTTTTTTAGAAGCGACCTGACCGTAAATGGTATCCCAACGAAGAGCCTTTTGGTGCGGAAGTGTATCGCAGCCAAAGACTCCAAACGCACGTTCTAAATGTGGAAGAAGAACTGGAGGACCCGGAGAAAAATCCACGTGACCACGGGGGGAGAGAGACACGCAAACTCCAAATATACAGCAGGCGTCAGGGTTGGCATCAATCAAACCCTACGACCCCCTGTATACCAGGCGAGGTAGTTAACATCTCACCACCATTGTGTGCGGGGGAGCAGCGGTGTATGAGTTTTCACACGGTTATGAACCCAGCCATTATCGGTTTATCCACTGCTGGATGAAAGCCTCCCCAAGCCGTCGCCATGCTGAGCGGTCCCCCGATGTCACACAGCGTGTGTATTTATTATGTCGTGGTTAGCACAGATTTAGATTCCTAGTCACCTGCGACAAGCGATATCACAAGAGGTTGTGGGCCTCCCCTAGATCGACTCAGCTTTAAATGAGTACTTGGTGGGGTGTGTCAACAACTGCACTGAGACCGCAAAGGTGGACGGGCAAGATGCTGGCCACACCACCCTGTTGCTTGCTGATCCGGCCTTACTCGGTGCTCACTAACAGCCCTTATGCCATGAGTCTATTAAACTTACAATGGGACATTTAATTTTCAATCTTTTCAGCAACGTTAACGCCATAATCCATTCTTGGAGACCAGGGCTCGTAGAGGTAGATAAAAGTAGCCATGAATAAAAAAAAAGTAATTGGTAATGCTTGAGGCTTATAGACACAGACACACGAAGGCACCGATCGAAAACAATATACGGGTTAACGTCAAGAAGCAAAGATCAGAGAGCCAGATAAGTGGACCGACAGCATTTGTAAAGTCCATCATTCCAGTACACTGTGCCGATTTCTCACACGGTTTAAACAAAATTAACTTGAAACTTGAATGCCCGAGGTTCACAAGGCAGAATTAAGATGACGTTAAAATATAGAGCGCTAAGGTGGCGAGATGTTAACTCCCTCGCCTGGTACACAGGAGGTCGCGGGTATATTTGGAGTTTGTGTGTCTCTCTCTCCCCATAGTCGCGTGGATTTTTCTCCAGGTCCTCCAGTTTTTCCCTCCACATTTAGAAACACGCGTTTAGAGTATTTGGCTGCTATAAATTTCCACGTGGTAATAAGCCACTTCGTTGAGCTATTTGTGATGGCCAGGTCGCTTCTGAAAAAAGAGCTACACAACTCAGTGGGCCTTACTTGGTAAAATAAAATAAATGGTTAAATAGTAGTTATAAGCGATTGAAGTGTTGATGCCAGACTTGGACTGGATTCTGATAAAAACCCGACGCCCTCCCAGTTTGACACAGATCTCCCCCCTGGCCCAGCGTTAATTCCCCGCGACGGCTTTAGTTGGCGGCCTGCGGAGAGAGTGACTTCTTGAACTCCCGGCCGGAGCGGAGTCTGCGCTCCAAGCCTCCGTTTATTTACATTAAAACCCACGTGGAGTTTTGTTTGTTTCCAATTAAAAACAAAAACATTCTCGAAAATAACGTTTTACGCCCCCCCCAAACCCCCCCCCCCCTCAAATCTCCCCCCGCCCTCAAATTGCGACTACAGCTGCAACTCAGCAGGGTACAAATTGAATCTTAGCTCTTAATTAAAAATGTTTTTTTAAATTTTCCGTCCTGCTGGAAAGACTTCCCATTGAGACCCAAACACCCCCCCCCCCTCCCCCAGTGTTTGTGTGAATAGTGGTGAGTGGGTTGAGGCAGAGGTGAGGATGTGAGGCTGAAGTGTGAGTAGCAGGTGTACATGTCTTTGTGTGTCTGTGTGCGTGTGGGGAGCGGTAGTGTAGTGCTTAGCGCGCCGCTCACGGCCAACACCGGTAACGATTATTTGAACCGGTCCTGGGCCATTTCCTAGGTAGACTCAGCCTCAAATGAGTACCCGGTGCAGTGTGTAAACATCACCACTCGGGAGACAAAGGTGACCGGGCGTGGTGTTGGCCGCTCACCCCCTCGTGTGCCGTGCCGGCCTTCAGAGGTGCTCGCTAACGGCACTTGCCCCGACAATCTGTTACAGGCTATACGGGTGATCTTTGCTTGTGTCCTTGTTGGGCTTCTATCGCGACACACGTAGCCAACCGCGTATGTGGGATTGGTCCTGAACAATAATTAACGTAGAGTGTTGTGGGATGCTGTTGCCATTAATAACGCTATGTAAAATGAAAGTACAGTAGTTCCTCGGTTAACAGTGACATTGGTTAACGGTTATTCGGTTAACGTTTCGCGTCCCGTACGACCCCATGGTTTCGACGAACGTTCACATTCTAAGGTTGCGTGTTTACGTGACGCACGCGGGCGCCGATTTGGACCAATCCGAGCGCTCGCAAATGGGGCTGAGCCGTGGCCTCAGCCAATCGGCGACGCCCATTTATGAGCTTTTAGACCTCTACTGCCTTTGTGAACGTTGTTTAACACGTAGCAGGCTTTCACAACCAACATTATGGATAATAGTGCAGGTTTTTGTTGGGTTAGATCGTGTAAATATAAACGTGTCGTAAAACCCGCCACCACCACCCAACACAGCCAACTCGTGAGGTTTGTCACGTAAACAAAACGTGCCAATTTGTTACGAGTTCAGCACGCAAGGGTGGTGGAGACTAAACCCACGACATTTACGATTCGTTTTCTGTTTTGGCAGTGGAAACGGCTCTCTTGCAGACTCATCGATTTTTGCTTACTTATTTTTCAACTTGTAAGTGAATTCGATGAACGGTTAACAGCAGTTTTTTATAGAACGTATTAAAAACATTAACCGAGGGACTACTGTTTAACTATTATTATTACTACTACACAGGGATGTTTGTCTTTGCGCTATGGCAAACGAAATGCAAGATTTGTGCTCTGCTTAATAGCCGTGGGTGTTGTTGGCTGAGACATTTTCTGTCGTGCCGCGGTTTTTGCAGTTGGTGGGAAAAGGTGGCCTTTGTAGAGTCGTGGCTGTGTGGTTGGTGGTGGTGGTGGCGATGCAGTGCGCACATTAATGCCTGCAGTCACGAAAGCTTTAAGTCAACATGTACAGAATAATTCCCAGCATGCGTTTGGTAAAGATTGTAGTCTGTCGTGTAATTGAGTGCGTGCAGTAGTCGTGGTCGTGGTGGTATGCTGTGCATTGAGTGATCTCCAGTGCAGTGTCCGGGTGTGGGACGTCGTGCAGTGTGAGGGTGGACGCGTTGAGGTTGACCTGAGCAGGGCTGGGTAGGGGCTGAAGTTAGTCTGATGAGGTACGTACGTTGAACGTCTTTCGCACCGTACGTAGCCAGAGGTGCGGGGGAAGGACAACAAACCAAACACGCAAGAAGCAAAATTTTGATTTAAAGCTTTCGTGACTGCAGTAATTCATATTCTTAGTTTTTTCGGTAAAGTCACGTTGAAGAGAAACAACAAAATAACAAAATATATATAAAACAATAAAAAATTCTCACGACGTTTCGACCATAACTCAAACGGTCATCATCAGGTGTGATGACCGTTTGAGTTATGGTCGAAACGTCGTGAGAATTTTTTATTGTTTTATATATATTTTGTTATTTTGTTGTTTCTCTTCAACGTGACTTTACCGAAAAAACTAAGAATACGCAAGAAGCAGTTCTAAGGAAGTGAGTTGTCAATCTAGACGATGATTTAAAGGTGCGTGGCTCCAGCGGCCTCCTGGTATCGGAAAGAGAGAGCGTTCCAGACGGCCGCAGGAGCGCGTCTGAAAGCGCCGCGCGATGCGGCGACCGCCGCCGTCTTTGTCCGATGGGCAGCAGCCAAAAGCCGCCGCCGCCGCCGCGAGGACGACCCCAGTTTTTCGCGAACGGGGGCGAGCGTGTTGAGGCAGGGCCAAGGCTGCGGCGAGCGAGTGAGCAGGTGTCTCGCCTGCCACGACGGACAGTCCGTCGGGGCGGATTCTCACCGCGTGGCCGGCCTCAAAGTTGTGCCGGTTGACGGCCGCCCGGGGGTCGAGCGCCGCCGCCTCGATGGAGTCGGCGAGCTGCTGGACGACGCGCTGCCCGTAGAGGGCGCTGTCGCTGCAGCCTCCCCACACCCAGCCCTCGCCTCCTGGGGGCGCGGCACGCGCGCGTCAGCACCGGTTCACCGCGCTCAGCGCACTCAGAACACACACCAGACTCACCACTCTCACCTTACTCACCACACTCACCACACTCACCTTACTCAGCGCACTCACCACACTCACCGCACTCACCACACCACACTCACCAGACTCACCACACTCACCACCCTCACCACACTCACCTTACTCACCACACTCATCACACTCACCACACTCACCTTACTCACCACACTCGCCACATCCACCACACTCACCGCCCTCACCACACTCACCGCCCTCACCACACTCGCCACACTCACCACACTCACCGCCCTCACCTCCCTCACCGCACTCACCTCCCTCACCACACTCACCACACTCACCGCCCTCACCACACTCGCCACACTCACCACACTCACCGCCCTCACCTCCCTCACCGCACTCACCTCTCTCACCACACTCACCACACTCACCGCCCTCACCTCCCTCACCGCACTCACCTCCCTCACCACACTCACCGCACTCACCACACTCACCGCCCTCACCACACTCGCCACACTCACCGCCCTCATCGCCCTCACCGCACTCACCGCCCTCATCACACTCACCGCCCTCACCACACTCACCACACTCACCACACTCACCGCCCTCACCGCGCTCGCCACACTCACCGCCCTCACCGCACTCACTACACTCACCGCCCTCACCTCCCTCACCGCACTCACCTCCCTCACCACACTCACCGCACTCACCACACTCACCGCACTCACCGCCCTCACCACACTCACCGCCCTCACCGCCCTCACCACACTCACTACACTCACCACACTCACCACACTCATCGCCCTCACCGCCCTCACCGCACACACCACACTCACCACACTCACCGCCCTCACCACACTCACCACACTCAGCGCCCTCACCGCCCTCACCACACTCACCACACTCACCGCCCTCACCACACTCACCGCCCTCATCACACTCACCGCCCTCACCACTCACCGCCCTCACCGCCCTCACCACACTCACCACACTCACCACACCGCCCTCACCACACTCACCACATTCACCACACTCATCACACTCACCACACTCACCACACTCACCGCCCTCACCACACTCACCACTCTCACCACACTCACCGCCCTCACCACACTCACCGCCCTCACCGCCCTCACCACACTCACCGCGCTCACCACCCTCACTGCCCTCACCGCCCTCACCACACTCACCACACTCACCGCCCTCACCGCCCTCACCACACTCGCCACACTCACCGCCCTCACCGCCCTCACCACACTCACCGCCCTCACCACACTCACCACACTCACCGCCCTCACCGCCCTCACCACACTCACCGCCCTCACCACACTCACCACACTCACCGCCCTCACCGCCCTCACCGCCCTCACCACACTCACCGCCCTCACCGCCCTCACCACACTCGCCACACTCACCGCCCTCACCGCCCTCACCACACTCGCCACACTCACCGCCCTCACCGCCCTCACCGCCCTCACCACACTCACCGCCCTCACCACCCTCACCGCACTCACCACACTCGCCACACTCACCACACTCACCACACTCACCGCCCTCACCTCCCTCACCGCACTCACCTCCCTCACCACACTCACCGCACTCACCACACTCACCGCCCTCACCACACTCGCCACACTCACCGCCCTCATCGCCCTCACCGCACTCACCGCCCTCATCACACTCACCGCCCTCACCACACTCACCGCCCTCACCACACTCACCACACTCACCACACTCACCGCCCTCACCACACTCACCGCCCTCACCACACTCACCACACTCACCACACTCACCGCCCTCACCGCCCTCACCACACTCACCGCCCTCACCGCACTCACCACACTCACCGCCCTCACCTCCCTCACCGCACTCACCTCCCTCACCACACTCACCGCACTCACCACACTCACCGCACTCACCGCCCTCACCACACTCACCGCCCTCACCGCCCTCACCACACTCACTACACTCACCACACTCACCACACTCATCGCCCTCACCGCCCTCACCGCACACACCACACTCACCACACTCACCGCCCTCACCACACTCACCACACTCACCGCCCTCACCGCCCTCACCACACTCACCACACTCACCGCCCTCACCACACTCACCGCCCTCATCACACTCACCGCCCTCACCACTCACCGCCCTCACCGCCCTCACCACACTCACCACACTCACCACACCGCCCTCACCACACTCATCACACTCACCACTCTCACCACACTCACCGCCCTCACCACACTCACCGCCCTCACCGCCCTCACCACACTCACCGCCCTCACCGCCCTCACCGCCCTCACCACACTCACCGCCCTCACCACACTCACCGCCCTCACCACACTCACCGCCCTCACCGCCCTCACCACACTCACTACACTCACCACACTCGCCACACTCACCGCCCTCATCGCCCTCACCGCACTCACCGCCCTCACCACACTCACCGCCCTCACCGCCCTGACCGCCCTCACCGCCCTCACCACCCTCACCGCCCTCACCGCCCTCACCACACTCGCCACACTCACCGCCCTCACCACACTCACCGCCCTCACCACACTCACCACACTCACCACACTCACCGCCCTCACCGCGCTCGCCACACTCACCGCCCTCACCGCACTCACTACACTCACCGCCCTCACCTCCCTCACCGCACTCACCTCCCTCACCACACTCACCGCACTCACCACACTCACCGCACTCACCGCCCTCACCACACTCACCGCCCTCACCGCCCTCACCACACTCACTACACTCACCACACTCACCACACTCATCGCCCTCACCGCCCTCACCGCACACACCACACTCACCACACTCACCGCCCTCACCACACTCACCACACTCACCGCCCTCACCGCCCTCACCACACTCACCACACTCACCGCCCTCACCACACTCACCGCCCTCATCACACTCACCGCCCTCACCACTCACCGCCCTCACCGCCCTCACCACACTCACCACACTCACCACACCGCCCTCACCACACTCACCACATTCACCACACTCATCACACTCACCACACTCACCACACTCACCGCCCTCACCACACTCACCACTCTCACCACACTCACCGCCCTCACCACACTCACCGCCCTCACCGCCCTCACCACACTCACCGCGCTCACCGCCCTCACTGCCCTCACCGCCCTCACCACACTCACTGCCCTCACCGCCCTCACCGCCCTCACCACACTCGCCACACTCACCACACTCACCGCCCTCACCACACTCACCGCCCTCACCGCCCTCACCACACTCACCGCCCTCACCGCCCTCACCGCCCTCACCGCCCTCACCACACTCACCGCCCTCACCGCCCTCACCGCCCTCACCACACTCACCGCCATCACCGCCCTCACCGCCCTCACCGCCCTCACCACACTCACCGCCCTCACCGCCCTCACCGCCCTCACCACACTCACCGCCCTCACCACACTCACCGCCCTCACCGCCCTCACCGCCCTCACCGCCCTCACCACACTCACCGCCATCACCGCCCTCACCGCCCTCACCGCCCTCACCACACTCACCGCCCTCACCACACTCACCGCCCTCACCGCCCTCACCACACTCACCGCCCTCACCGCCCTCACCGCCCTCACCGCCCTCACCACACTCACCGCCCTCACCACACTCACCGCCATCACCGCCCTCACCGCCCTCACCGCCCTCACCACACTCACCGCCATCACCACACTCACCGCCCTCACCGCCCTCACCACACTCACCGCCCTCACCGCCCTCACCGCCCTCACCGCCCTCACCACACTCACCGCCCTCACCACACTCACCGCCATCACCGCCCTCACCGCCCTCACCGCCCTCACCGCCCTCACCACACTCACCGCCCTCACCGCCCTCACCGCTCTCACCGCCCTCACCACACTCACCGCCCTCACCGCCCTCACCGCCCTCACCACACTCACCACACTCACCACACTCACCGCCCTCACCACACTCACCGCGCTCGCCGTTCTTGCTGTCGTCACAGCCGCACTCGCTGGCGAAGTCGCCGGCGCTGCAGTTGCGTGCCAGGGTGTGGACCACCCCCGCGGCGCTCACGGCGTGGACGAACGCCGCCTCGCGGGTCGCTGCGCGCACACACGAGGCACAGGGGCAAAGGTCACCCGTGTAGCCTTCAACAAGACTCGGGGCGAGAGCTCTTCGCTAGCCAGGGCCGGACACGGCACGCAAGGGGGCGGGGCGGCCCCACGTCACGCGCGGCCGCCTTTGTCTCCACGGCGATGGTTAGGCACCGTACTCATTCAAGGCTGGGTCCGCCTAGGAGAGATTCCCAGGACCGGGTTCAACTAATCACCGCCGTCATTGGTCGTGAGAGGGAGTGGACCTCGGTTTTCGCGCAGGGCACTAACTGCTGCACTACCGGTCCCCGCTGCGTGTAAAGACGAATCCACACTCACTCGATGGACCAGGATGAGTCTCATGTGCTAGAGGGTGAGCGAGGTTCACGAAATAAAACAAAACAAAAACTAAAACAAATATAATTTACAGCAAAGCGAATAGAAATCAGGGCAAAAGCAACCGTGCCACACGAGAAATAAAAAAGAACGCACACACAAAATCAGTCAAGCAGTAAGCCTCTCCCCTTCGAGCAGATTATATTTAGACCGGTGACAATTAAGTTACATAAACATTAAATAGAGGTCGATCATCATGGTAGCATGTAAAGACACAACGAGGAGACGTGTCAAACACAAGGACATAGGTGAAACGTGTCCAACGTAATTAACAACACGTGTACGGACACGTCGATTCACACACGCATGCTAATTCACATGTGGTCATTCGCACGCACACACAATCTTCATTCACAAAACACAACTAAATTCCTCCGCGTGTAGCCTTAACGGGCTGTTGGGGCAAGTGCAGTTAGCGAGCACCTATGAAGGCCGGCACGGTGCACGAGGGGGTGGGCGGCCAGCACCACGCCCAGCCGCCTTTGTCTCCCCAATGCTGATGTTTACACTCCGCACCAGGCACTCATTGAAGGCTGAGTCAACCTAGTTGAAGCCCAGTACCAGTTCAGATATTTGTCATTGACGTCGGGCATTAGCAGAAGTCATACGGGGGTCGCTGGGTTCGTAGTGCAGCGAGCGAAACCACACCGCAACATGCCCCTTCGTTCATTCACACAACACACTCATTAACACAACACACTACATACTCATTAACACAACACACTCATTAACACAACACACAACACACTCATTAACACAACACACTACACACTCATTAACACAACACACTTGTTCACACAACACACTACACACTCATTAACACAACACACTACACACTCATTAACACAACACACTTGTTCACACAACACACTACATACTCATTAACACAACACACTACACACATTAACACTACACACTCATTCACACAACACACTCATTAACACAACACACTACATACTCATTCACACAACACACTACACACTCATTCACACAACACACTACACACTCATTCACACAACACACTACACACTCATTAACACAACACACTACACACTCATTCACACTACACACTCATTCACACAACACACTACATACTCATTCACACAACACACTACACATTAACACAACACACTACATACTCATTCACACAACACACTACACACTCATTCACACAACACACTACACACTCATTCACACAACACACTCATTAACACACCACACTACACACTCATTCACACTACACACTCATTAACACAACACACTACACACTCATTCACACTACACACTCATTCACACAACACACTCATTAACACAACACACTCATTAACACAACACACTACACACTCATTAATACAACACACTCATTAACACAACACACTACATACTCATTAACACAACACACTCATTAACACAACACACTACACACTCATTAACACAACACACTACACACTCATTCACACAACACACTTGTTCACACAACACACTACATACTCATTAACACAACACACTCATTCACACAACACACTACACACTAATTCACAGAACACACTACACACTAATTCACACAACACACTACACACTCATTCACACAACACACTACACACTAATTCACACAACACACAACACACTCATTCACACAACACACTACACACTCATTCACACAACACACTCATTCACACAACATACTCACACTCATTCACACAACACACTCACACTACACACTCATTTACACAACACACTACACACTCATTCACACAACACAGTACACACTCATTAACACAACACACTCATTCGCACAACACACTCATTCACACAACACACTACACACTCATTCATACAACACACTACACACTACACACTCATTCACACAACACACTACACACTCATTCACACAACACACTACACACTCATTAACACAACACACTACACACTCATTCACACTACACACTCATTCACACAACACACTACATACTCATTCACACAACACACTACACATTAACACAACACACTACATACTCATTCACACAACACACTACACACTCATTCACACACCACACTACACACTCATTCACACAACACACTACACACTCATTAACACAACACACTACACACTCATTCACACTACACACTCATTAACACAACACACTACACACTCATTCACACTACACACTCATTCACACAACACACTCATTAACACAACACACTACACACTCATTAATACAACACACTCATTAACACAACACACTACATACTCATTAACACAACACACTCATTAACACAACACACTACACACTCATTAACACAACACACTACACACTCATTCACACAACACACTTGTTCACACAACACACTACATACTCATTAACACAACACACTCATTCACACAACACACTACACACTAATTCACAGAACACACTACACACTAATTCACACAACACACTACACACTCATTCACACAACACACTACACACTAATTCACACAGCACACAACACACTCATTCACACAACACACTCATTCACACAACACACTCATTCACACAACATACTCACACTCATTCACACAACACACTCACACTACACACTCATTTACACAACACACTACACACTCATTCACACAACACACTACACACTCATTCACACAACACACTCATTCGCACAACACACTCATTCACACAACACACTACACACTCATTCATACAACACACTGCACACTACACACTCATTCACACAACACACTACACACTCATTAACACAACACACTCACACTACACACTCATTCACACAACACACTCTTTCACACAACACGCTACACACTCATTCACACAACACACTACACATTCATTAACACAGCACACTCGTACACACAAAAAGACAACAAAGACCCCCCGTATAGCCTTAACAGACTGTAGGGGCAAGTGCAGTTAGCGAGCAGCACCTATGAAGGCCGGCACGGCACACGAGGGGGTGGGTGGCCAGCCACACGCCCGGCCGCCTTTGTCTCCCCAGTGGCGATGTATACACACCGCACCAAGTACACATTTGAGGCCGAGTCGACCTAGGAGAGGCCCAGGACCGGTTCAGATAATTGTCACTGGTGTTGGCCGTGAGCGGGAATCGAACTCCGGTCGCCGGGTTCGCAGCGCTACACCACTGCTCCCCACCATACACACAACACACTCATTCACACACTCGCACGTGTGAATCCACGCCCGCAGAGACACGGGTTCATTCATGCGTTTCCGCACGCGGAAAGTCCACTCCGCCTCCGACACGTCCCCGTGCTACATCACCAATCCGAGCCGTCAGGGGCCATCTCCCAGCTTGCATTGAGCTATCGGGCAGCGCTCGTCTGTGCTGGTGGCCCTGGGGGAGTTGCTAGGAATTCCACATTCCTATGACGGGCACCTTTTTATTCACAGAACGACCACGTAGGAAAAAAAAGTAAAAAAAAATACTGTCTAATTTTGTGTTGAACTGGGACCCCAAAAGCGACAATACAGGGTCCATGCCATGTCGGATAGGAGGTTCACCAGCATTGATTCAAGCAGGGGCGGAGCCAGGATTTTAACTTTGGGGGGGGCTGACTTCAATATTCTGAGATATCCAGTGTTTATGTTTTCCAATGGGTGCCACAAATTTATAAAACAAATTTTATTGGATTTGAACGCGGAGTTTATTAATAGGTCGGAGCCGCTGATGTGGCTGATAAGTTCGATAAGTTCGAAAGGCTGCCGCTCAAGCAGCCTGCAGGGCAGCACAAGGTGGCAGCCTGCAGGGCAGCACACGAGGTGGCAGCCTGCAGGGCAGCACAAGGTGGCAGCCTGCAGGGCAGCACACGGTAGCAGCCTGCAGGGCAGCACAAGGTGGCAGCCTGCAGGGCAGCACGAGGCGGCAGCACAAGGTGGCAGCCTGCAGGGCAGCACAAGGTGGCAGCCTGCAGGGCAGCACGAGGCGGCAGCACAAGGTGGCAGCCTGCAGGGCAGCACAAGGTGGCAGCCTGCAGGGCAGCACAAGGTGGCAGCCTGCAGGGCAGCACAAGGTGGCAGCACAAGGTGGCAGCCTGCAGGGCAGCACAAGGTGGCAGCACAAGGTGGCAGCCTGCAGGGCAACACGAGGTGGCAGCCTGCAGGGCAGCACAAGGTGGCAGCCTGCAGAATTTTGCAGCAGCCGGATATTCGGTTATCCCGATTACCGACTTTCCCAAAATTTCAGGGGGGCCTGAGCCCCCCCCCCCAGCCCCCCCCGTGGCTCCGCCCGTGGATTCAAGCAAGCCTGACTTTGCTTGTCTTGAATCAATGCTGCTGATATTACACACTCCCAGAAGGCCGTGCGGCTGATGGATTGTGTAATACTTTACATTTTTACGTGGAGATGGACAATGTGGAGACAATGTCTCTTTAGTCATCATTTTAAATACTACATATTGGTGTGCTTATTCAGTTACTCGATGTAAGCACGCGTTTAATCCTTCAGCCAATGAGATTGTCAGATTAATATTTCCTAGGAGTGGCGGTTGACTCAGAGGGTTCATAACAGCCATTAGTGACGAGTGTGTAGGTGTGTGATGAGTGTGATGTGGGTGATGTGTGTAGTGTGTGATGTATGTAGTGTGTGATGTGTGTAGTGTGTGATGTGTGTAGTGTGTGATGTGTGTAGTGTGTGATGTGTGTAGTGTGTGATGTGGGTGGTGTGTGTAGTGTGTGATGTGTGTAGTGTGTGATGGGTGTGATGTGTGTGATGAGTGTGTAGGTAGTTATTATGACACGTGTGAGTGTGTAGGTGTGCGTGAGTTAGTATGTTTGCATGCTACTGGGCAGTCGGAGGCAGTCGCGCTCCAGCAACAACGGAGGGCAGAGGAGCGACGCTCACAACAAAGAGCGGAGCGCCGGGCGGATAAATTTGAGCAAATTGGCACAGTAGGGGGTACGGCTGGTGCATCGACCGGTCATCTCAGTCAGCCAGCCCATAGCACCTGGGTCTGTCCCGAAACCTCCTCCTGTCAGCGAGCCTTCGACTCTTCACGTGGCCTCAAAGTGCACCTAGCCTGGCACAGGCGCCGTGGTGACGTCACCATCACTTAGTGGCGAATGGCGGTTGTTGTTCAATTGGATTGAATGTTTCCACGAGGAGCGATAGTGGAGCGGCTAGCCAACACCAGTTACGATTATCTGAACCGGTCCTGGGCCTCCTCGAGGTCCCCTCAGCCTTAACTGAGTTCCTGGTGTGATGCGAAAACATCGCCACTGGGGAGACAAAGGCGGCTGGGCGTGGTTTATGGCCACCCACCCCCCTCGTGTGCCGTTCTGGCCTTCATGGGTGCTTGCTAAAAGCACTTGCCCCAACAGTCTGTTAAGGCTACACGGGAGATCTTTGTCTTTGCATCAGCAAGCGAGTGCGTGTGTATACAGGAGTGGGGAGTGGTCGTGTGGTGGTTTAGCGCACTGCCCTACGAACCGACTTCGATTCCCGCTCGCGGCCAACATCAGTGAAGAATATTTCAACCTGTCCTGGGCCTCCCGTAGGTTGATTCAGCATTAAAAACGAGTGCCTGCTCCACTAAGTGTTGGCACCACGTGTTCCGTCTCTTGGCATCTCCATCCTGCCATCTCTGTCCTCAATGACACGGACGAGTTTAAGTGCGACTGTATTTGTACAATATCATTGATTTTATCACGTTTTTCTTTTGTTCAAACCTGTAATTGTGGAATGCTTTTGATGTTGGCTGCCAGCCGAGCCGCCTTTGAAAATAAAAAAAACGCTTTCTAACTCAATGAGGACTTTACTCAGGAAATCAACTTCTGAAGTATCATCAATGAGAGTAACCTAGTGCGCGGTTGAGTGATCATCACCACTGGTGGGTGGATAGGAGTGGGTTGGTGGGTGGATAGGAGGGGGTTGGTGGGTGGATAGGAGGGGGTTGGTGGGTGGGTAGGAGGGGGGTTGGTGGGTGGATAGGAGGGGGTTGGTGGGTGGGTAGGAGGGGGTTGGTGGGTGGGTAGGAGGGGGTTGGTGGGTGGGTAGGAGGGGGTTGGTGGGTGGGTGTGCTCTGTGTGCGTGAGAGTTCCGCACCGGCCCGCGTGGCCGCGTGTTGCACCGAGAGGCCGCCGCTTCTGTCTCCCCCCCCTCCTCCTCCTCCTCCGCCGGCGGCTGCGGCTGCTCGTCCGCAGTCCCAGCGCTCCCAGGCGAACTGCGCGGCACACTCGTGCAGGCCGAGACGCGCGCCCGCCGTCACGCTCTGCACCACGGAGGGCTGCACCTGGCCAGGCGAAAGACAAAGATATCAAATCTCCCCTCCACCGCAGCCCACGAGCAGCCTGGAACAGACTGTTGGGGCAAGTGCTGTCAGTGAGTTGCAGCGCCTCTGAAGGCCGGCACGGTGACACACGATGGAGGGGGGGGGGGGGGGGAGCCAGCACCACGCCCAGGGTACTCGATTTGAGGCTGAGTCGACCTAGGGGAGGCCCGGCACCGATTCAGATAATCGTCACTGATGTTGGCCGTGAACCCGGCGTGCCAGGTTCGCATATCTGTCAATCCCTTCCTAATTAGTGCTTAATTTGACTTAATGCTTTCGTGACTGCAGGAATTAATATTCTTTGGGTCTTTCGGTAAAGTCACGAGGATAGAAAAAAATAATAACACTACAATAATAAAAATAAATATAAAGTGAATATATTTTTTATTGTTACTATTTTTTCTATCTACGTGACTTTACCAAAAGACCAAAAGAATATAGTGCCTGCCTTATTACAGACCAATTCAGACCTGATTGGTCACCCCGTGCCCCTTATAAATCTCAACGTTCATCCTACAAAGTCCCATCACAAGGGAGAAACACAAACAAATTGCCCGTGTCGAAACGGCTGTGTGCCGCATCGACCTGAAAACTCAAATTTTCCCCTGTACAAGAATACGGGGAGAACCGCATGGGTTCACAGCGATGGGTTCCCAGCGCAGCACGCTAACCCCCATACTAACGCTCCCCAAATCACCCATTCCTCTCACCAACAGCCCGGTGTCTCTGAGCTCATCAGCCCCTCGACCCTCCACCTCACCAGGGCGGCATCATCATCATCATAGCCCGGGCCGCGTTACGGACAAGCGAATGATTATGTAGATAAAGCAGATAGTTTGTGAGAATTGAACAGAGAGAGAGATAAAAACATCGAAATGATTCTGTTGCGATGGAATGTTCACGTCGTATACGAAGGATGTGAGTTATATTACTGCAACTTGATGTTGTCTGCCATTGCTGCAGGGTTTAAATAACGAGCTTCATTTGAGATTTGGGTTTGGCTTAGGGGAGGTACCCACACTATTTGGCTCTCGATCAATGGGAGATTTAAAACATAATAACCCCGATATTCAGGTAGTGCCTGCCGAGGCGTGCAGAGTGGAGCGGTGTCGTTATAAACCCTGGTGAACTGGCCTGTCGAATTCAGAATGTGTATTGATAGTGGAGGAATCCGATGAGCTGTGAAGATATTTTTTCACAGACGTCCAGTAATTCGTGTGATCTGTCCCCTTCCGGAAAAAAGCCATTGCGTATACATTATGGAAATAGGCAACGTTTCAGGCATTGAGCCTTTCCACAGAAGAGGCCAGAGAACGGAGAGAGTGGCTCACAGTTGGAGTCCTTGGGGCCTGATAAGAAATGTAATTATTAAAATGTTTCCTGATTCATGGTTTTGTTACTGTCGAATGTGTAGAGTAGTTTGTTGTTGATGACGATGCTCATGTACCACTGCCAACGCGGCAGCAGCAACATCGCCAAATAATTTGTTGAATATAAATTACTGATTATTTTTTAAGCGTTATGTTTTCGTTTATGAGTTAACGCTAATTTGCATTCCTTCTGAACGTTTCGTCTATTCAAGAGTGCTTTTGTGAGATCACGGCGCATATTATTATTATGCGCGTTACTGTATCTTTTTGTTTTTGCACGACATTAATGCTGCAGGTGCACAAGCGATCAGCACGGTGTCAGCCGCACAGTCCCAAGGTTACTCGACTCTGGCTTGCCCCGTGGGCCGCTTCTCCCCGGAGCGCAGGCCTGGGGCGGCAGGACTGCAGTGCGGCTCTTTCCTTTGGACTTCCATGGTAAACTGGACTTCCATGGTAAACAACTTCCATGGTAAACTGGACTTCCGTGGTGAACTGGACTGCCATTGTAAACCGAACTTCCATGGTAAAACTGGACTTCCATGGTAAACTGGACTTCCATGGTAAACGGAACTTCCATGGTAAACTGGACTGCCATCGTAAACCAAACTTCCATGGTAAACTGAACTTCCATGGTAAACTGGACTCCCATGGTAAACTGAACTTCCATGGTAAACTGAACTTCCATGGTAAACTGGATTTCCCTGGTTAACTGGACTCCCATGGTAAATTGGACTTCCATGGTGAACTGGTCTTCCATTGTAAACTGGATTTCCCTGGTTAACTGGACTCCCATGGTAAATTGGACTTCCATGGTGAACTGGTCTTCCATGGTAAACTGGATTTCCCTGGTTAACTGGACTCCCATGTTAAACTGGACTTCCATGGTAAACCGAACTTCCATGATAAACGGAACTTCCATGGTAAACTGGACTCCCATGGTAAACTGGACTTCCATGGTAAGCTGAACTTCCATGGTAAACTGGATTTCCGTGGTGAACTGGACTCCCATTGAAGTCTAATTTACTATAGAAGTCCAGTTCACCACGTAAGTCCAGTTTACCATGGAAGTATAGTTTACCATGGGCAGGGGTTGGGCATTATTGACTGCTGCTTCACGGTGTTATTCGTTCCGGACCACCCCGTCGGATTCATGTCGCATTGCAGCGCTTGAAATATTAGAACACATTTTTTTACCGAATTAAAAAAAAAAGTTTATTGTTGTTGTTGTTGTTTTAGTCTTCCGAGCCCTGCCCTGGCACAATCGCGACGTGACTTTCCCCGCAAAGCGGTCGGTCACGTTATCAACCCGAATTCGATGATCGAGGTTCCCGGCTCCTATTGCAGGCGATGTTTGAATTGGTACTCGACCGTGATAGGGATTCGTCCAGCAGTGGAATTGATCGTACACACGTGGACGGCGATGACGAGATTAGGTGACGCGATGTGAGTTTGTGACCCAAATATGAGTGTGATAGTTTGTTGTTGAACAGGTCCACCGGAGTTGAGATGGAGTACACTTGCCAATACCATCTGGTAAGACAGCAGCGTATGTTTGATTCTACTTTTTGTGTTTATTTTTTTGTCCTTCCCCCGCACCTCCGATGAGCGCGGTTGGGTACGGCACGAAAGAAGTTCAACATACGTACGTTCTGCTAATGAGACAGTTTTTTTGCTGATGAGTCCCCAAAAGGTCAAAACTGATGCAGAGTTCTCTCGCTTAAAGGCCACTTTATATTGTTTGGTCTGGAAAGCCAATAAAACACGGGCTGATGGACCAAAACAGACCTTGTATCACTGTGGGACACGTGTATACGGTACATACCCTCTTAACCAACATGGCATTGAGCGGCGTAACAACAAATACCACCACGCACAGCGGGATATAAAAATAATAATAATAGTGATGAAGTAATGGAGAGATCTCTTACCTTGGAGCCAGAAGTGAGTAGGTTGTTTATGGGCCTGAAATAAAGCACAATGGGGGGGGTGGGTTGGCACGTAGCAATGTTTATTATGGATGACGCATTGGCTGCTGCTGCGCGTGTGTGTGTGAACAAGCATTAGGGGCACTTCGTGTAAACATCTCGAAACGGAGCGGCGACCGTCTGCGTTACTGCCTAAGCGAGCCGGGCGGGACGTGCAGCACCGGCCTGTCGAACAATAGCAGCGGTAAGCGGCCAGGCCGACTGGTTGCGCACTCGCCGCAGGTTATTATTATTACTAGTGTGATCATCCCCGCCCTCCCCTCCTCTCCCACGCAAATGTTATGCGGATCGTGCCCTCCACGTGCTTGTCCAAGGCCACGTCCTGAGACGATGTGTAGCGGTACACACGGAGGAGAACTGCTCTAAATCGCGGTGGTACGGGCAAAGCCAACACCGCGGATCACCCCATTATCCGAGGGGGGGGGGGGGCAAACCAAAAAAATGAATATTGATACTGGCGGAATCCGATGAGCTATGAAGCTCTTTTTCACAGGAAAAAACGTTTTTTTGCGGATAAACCCGCAGATTGTGGGATGAATTTAGCCATGCCGAAAAAACCCGCGACTATTAGCAAGTCAACGAAGCGTGAACTGGGGAGGTGGGCGGCGGACAAGAGACTCCACGGCTCCGACAGCTGCCCAAGTGCCGGATTCTCCCAGTAGCACAAGTAGCTGCACTTGCTCTATTACTATAGTACTATACTACCTTCACATTTTATGAACGACTGGGTGTTTAAGGTTAGCGATTTGTCGTATTATCTGGCTGTATAGCAAATGAAAAAAAAATACAATTTCTTTACTATGCAAGTTAAAAAATGTGTGTTTTAATATTTGTTTTTTTTTAGGGACCCTTTATAACAATTGCTGCAGGCCCCGCACTAGCTTAATCCGGCACTGCAGCTGCCGCAGATACTCGGAGTCGCGGGTAACATGGCCGAGGATGCGAGGACTTCTCTCCCTCGATCCATTCGGATCGTTGGCAGCAGCAGCAGCAACGCATCCTCGTCGTGCAAGAGAACGGCCCGCGGAAGTGGATACTGCAGAGTGACCCCTGACATCCCTTCCTTCGTCGCGACGGTCTCGTCGACGACACTTCGTGTGGGGCAGCACTTTCGCACCCGCTCTGACAGAGCGTTGCCAGCTGTAACTCGGTCGTGAATGTGCGCTCTGTATCACAGTTGGACACTGTTATACGATTACACCGTTGCATTTTCGCGATCGCTTTAAAATCGCTTACAAAGGTCCATTATGCACTCATGCCTGTCAACCCCTTATCAGTGCCGACCTTATTATAGACCAATTCAGACCTTATTGGTCACCACGTGCCATTATAAATCTGAACGTCCATCCTACAAAGTCTCATCACAAGGGAGAAACACAAACAGATAGACACATTTTTGTGCCCGTATTGAGACGGCTGTACGCCGTATGGACGTGAAAACTCAATTTCCCTGCACAAGACTCCGGGGTAAACCGCATGGGTTGACAACTTCGTGAACTCATGTACACGGCGTGGTCCAGATGTCTTGGGACCCCCCCCCCCCCTATTTAATCCTCTAAAATGTAATATTGTTTCAAGCAAGGTTTATTTAAAACAGACGTGAAAATGCAAAGGGAAACAGTGTTAGAGGCCAATTGATTGGGGTTCACAAGACATCTGGACGACTCATGTACAATATAATGTGTGTGGGTATAACTTACAATGTAATACAATAACATAGCACTTGGTAAATCCAATACTATGTGAATGCTCTGTGGCCATACTTCACCACGCTGGTCAGTGAGGGTTGATGGGGGGGGGTTCACGATAGGCTTCAGACATCACCCAGCCACTGGTGTTAGTCTTGGCCGGGATTCGAACCGTGGGTCCGAGCTCACAGCGCAATGCACTTTAACGACGATGCCACAGAGGTGTCCATCATAATACTGTACATTGACGCACAATACAAAGATCCCCCGTATAGCCCGCCTAGACTGTTGGGGCAAGTGCTGTTAGCGAGGGCCTATGAAGACTGGCGCGTCTAACGAGGGGGTGGGTGGCCAGAACCACGCCCAGCCGCCTTTGTCTCCCCAGTGGCGATGTTTACACATCGCACCAGGTACTCATTTGAGGCTGAGTCAACCTAGAGGAGGCCCAGGACCGGTTCAGGAATCGAACCCGGGTGGCCAGGTTGGTAGCGCGGCTCGCTAACCCCTACACCACCGTCATCATCTCCACCACCATCATCATACACACATCGATACAGCCACACTCACCGTGATAGTAAGAGTATTCACACAGACGCAACGTGCATAATACCTGTAGGTGGTACACGTGCATTGCAGACGATACTGCATTGTACAATGCCACCGTAGAGCCAAATGCATTTATAAAACATCGCCAGAACACCGCTCTTGGGGAAATTACAGAAAGCAACTTTACAGATGTAACTCTCTCCATTCTAAGGTATGGAGCTATCCATTTCAAAATATTTACTGAGGATTACTAGACATCCGTGGGGTATCTCTAAATGTATCACCCTCTGACTACTGGTCTAAGACGACAAGGCCACCATGCCTTGCATACTCCACTTTCGACAGCTCTTTGTTAATCCACTGCTAGATGAAGGCCTCCCCACGCCGTGTCGGTCACGTGGGGGGTTGTTTGACCATACTTGTCCACCCTGGTCAGCCCGCTTCGGGTATGGCTACAACTCAGCAATCGGTTCAGAATTTCGCGCTTGCGTGGCCTGGATTGTAACCCGGGTTTCTCTGGTGGCAGGTTCACACGCGCGCAGTGCCCTAACCATTGCGCCACTACTCCACCCACACTTAAAACATTAACAGGTAGAATGTTTTTGTTTACTTTTTTTCAAAATGGATTTATTTATATCGTCCCCAGCACATCCATCATCATCCCCATTACTACCATCGTCATCACCACCATCATCACCATCATTTCAAATTTCATTTAGTAGGTATAGCCCTGTGAGCCACGCGGCTCTTGAGTCGGGTGCAACCGCAACAAACAAAAATATGAACAGAGAAACATCTTAAAGCGACGATGACGCGCAACAGAAACATCCTGGAGAAACCAGCACCATCGCCTCCACCATCACCATCACCACGACCACCATCATCACCACCACTGTCATCATCGCCACCACAATCATCACCAGCGTCACTTCCACCAAATATCGCCACCTCCGCCACCGTCAACATCGCCACCGCCATTTCAACATCACCACCAAAGACAGACTGTTGGGGCAAGTGCTGTTAGCGAGCGGCACCTATGAAGGCCGGTACGGCACACGAAGGGGTGGGGTGGCCAACACCACGCCCGGCCGCCTTTGTATCCCCCGTGGCGATGTTCACATGCCGCACCAGGCACTCATTTGAGGCTGAGTCGATCGAGGGGACCGATTCAGATCATGGTCGCTGGTGTTGGCCGTAAGGGGATTCGAACTCGGCTTGCCGGGTTCGTAGCGCAGCGCGCTATAACCAACTACACTACCGCTCCCCAAACCAACCATCCGTACCATCATCGTCGTCGTCATCATCACGACGCGACCAGTTGAAGGTTCCACTTACCAGGCAGGAGCTCCACACGCCCAGGTCAGCACCGCCAGCGAGGAAACCGCCACCACCTTGGCCAGCGTGATGGACATCACGGCATGACTCATGATCACTTGATCGATATTATTGATATTATCCCCCTTCGAGCGATATCCAAAAGCGTGCACCAAGACGAACAACGCCACTTGTGCAACTGTATGTCAGAGAGTGGCCGTGTTATGAGAGACGAGAGTAGAGTGAGTGAGAGAGAGACAGGGCAGGCAGGAGCAGCCTTGGCTTAATGTTCTCACGGCGACCCGGGGAATGCGCGAGCCGATCGAATCACCTCTGGTGACAGATCATCAATGGGGGTCCATGGAGCGGTGCCCTGCCAGACGAGTGGCGACGTGGGTCTCCACGGGAGGTCTCCTGGCCACGCCCGCCCGCCCGTCCTGACACCAAAAGGGACACTCGTGCTCCAGACCCATCCCTGTGGGCAGTCGTCATCTCAACGGAGACCTCTTCGGGAACTTCGTGGCTTGGCCTCGTCGGTGGAGCTCCGTGCGCAGCTGCCCAGGGATCCGCAGACGATCTTCAAACTCCCAGTTCCGAAACCAAATTCCCATCGTGATCGTCATCTTGATCATCAGCGGCGGCGGCGGCCGTGGTCAATCCACCGCTGGATGAAAGACTTCCACAAGCCGCCATCTGGATTTGCAATGTACACTGCCACTGTCGCTTGAGGTCGAGGAGAGAGAAGGGAGGGCAATGGACTGGTTCAGATATCACTCGCCACTGGTGGCAGCCGTGGCCTAGAATTGGACCCCTGATTACCCGTGGTAGTGCTCACTCCCTTCTCTATGTTTGGTTAAACGCTCTATGTCTTTATCATTTACTTTTAGAAGTGGCCGATTCAAACAAATGCTTGTGGGTTTTTGTTTTATTAACCGAGCTGCATAAACGTCACAAAAGGCAACGAATGGCATTACCGCCGCCAATACCACGTGATCGCTACCAGCGCTTCGCACTGCGCTTCGAGCCTGGCAACCTTAAGTTCGAGTCCTTCCCGGCCACGGCTACCACCAGTGGCGAGTGATAACTGAACCGATACTGTCCGTCTCTCCACCCCCTCCCCCACCGCTCGCCAACTCTCACTACAAATGAAAAAAATTCATTCGTAAACTCTCGGCGTGTTGCTTGTTCATATGTTTGTTGGACTTCTTTCGCACCGTACGTAGCCAACCGTGCCTATTGGAGGTGCGGTGGAAAGGACAACAAACCAAACAGAAGAAGCAGTTCCAAAGAAGCGAGTTCTCAATCTCGATGTTAAAAAGTGCATAGCTCCAGCGGCTTCCTGATATCGGAAGGGAAGAGCGTTCCAGACGGCCGCAGAAGCGCATCTGAAAGCGCCGCGCGATCCGGCGAGGATGAGCGGAGTTCCCGTGATGTTGGTTTATGCTCCGTGACAAGAGCTGACAGATAGCTGTCAATTATTACTCATGTACAGGGTCGCGAGGGATGGCGATGGTTTGGGGAGGCCATCATCCAGCAGTGGATCGATCGTGGCTGTTTATGATATATTAATGAACAACCCCAATGAGCCTAAGTTGCGCGGGGAGAGCTTCATCCAGCAGTGGATTGACCAAAGGGACTTTAAAGTAATATTGCATTCACTACGCACCCGGGTCCCTGAGTTCGATTCCCGACCACGGCTAACATCAGTGGCGAGTGATATCTGAACCGATCCTAACCTACCTCCCTTTTCACCAGACCACTCTGACCGCCCTGGTGAAGTATGGTCATTCCCCTCCCCTCGTCGTACGGTATTGTCCGGCAGACTTCACTTGGTGGTCCGCGAGCCAGTCATGGAAATTCCACATTCACGTGGCGGTGGCCAGGACATCCGCTCAGAAACCACTGTTTCGATTCCCACGGTATTGTGTTGGGAGTAATAGAGAAGGATGATTTGCTCGACTGCTTACAAGTTAACGTACTCTTTTCTGCGTGGGCTCTGCCTTCCCCCAACATTCAACGTCTTACCAATTGGGCTAACAACAAATTGTTGTTACCGATTGTTCCGAGTCCATTCTCTTTGAGACCCATTGTTGAACGCCGGTATTTTATTTGCTCCTCTGTGTATCATAAAGATGAAGTGTCCACAGTATGGCAGACGGCAGCCGTGCTGAATCAGATTAATACATCACCGACGGAGACGTTCCCACCGTAATCCAGCCTTATTTGGTTTTGGCTTGCAATCAGATTACAATAACAGGTCCTGTTATTTCTTTTTAAACGTAACACTTCGTCAGTAACACTGCACTCAGAGAAAACAGATTTCCACAGTAATAGACGACGTTTCGGACAACGGCCCTACTTCGTAGCAAAGAGCTGTATGTATGTTGAACTTCGTTCGCATCGCACACAGCCAGCCGCGCTAATCGGAGGTGTTTATATATATGACTATAAACATCAAGATGATGACTATATCATTGAGGTTTTTTGTTTGTTAACAGACTTTTAAAGCATCGCAGGCTACTATGATTGAAGGAAATTGAGGACGGGGAAAGGCCGAGAGAGAGTTGCGGATCAAAGCGGCGAGTGCCAGAGACATTGGGGAGAAAGAGTGGTATCACCGTGGTGAAGACGTGGCCATACGACAGCACATTGGGTTGATGCTGCAGCAGCTGCTGCGTTGGAAGTGATGGGACATAACAACTCAACCTCGCCGCCAATAACAAAACATGTCATATCGCCGACGTGCTATGACGAAGGGCCATTGCCTGAAACGTCACCTATCAAATCGATGTTGCAGTGTGATTGATCAATGTGTTGGGTGTTCCACGTTACTGCCTATGACAGAATTTGAGAACCGTTGGTAACCCGTCCCGTAAACACATTCCACGCGTTTTACAACTCGGCAGCCGAGTGCTAAGCAATGTGAATAATAATGGACGGGGGACTTCAGGCGCTCTTTGCATTTGAAAGCCGTGCTGCTTCCCCCGCTAACCGATTCACACCCAGCACCGAAGCCAGACAAGTTCACATGAGGCTCCCCAACTCCCCAATACACATCCGCGAGGCTCCCTTTGCCCGCACTCTCTGCTGCTGCTCCTGCTGCTGCTGACACCGCTGGTTTAACATGTTGGCTCACGACCCTTTAGTGATTTGTGTCAGCAAAAGGGAGCGACTTTTTTGCAGAGAATATTTTGTTTCGTTAAACGCAACAATAGAACAACATCGCACCTCGTGTTTTGAAACTCGCTTCCACCGCTGGGTGAGCGTCGAGGGGGTGCGATAGCCCTGGCTCGCCAGGTGAAGGCGTTGCAGCTTTAAACAAAACTGTTTCGGCTGTATGGGGATAGAGTGTTTCCCCCTCGCACGCGTAGGGTTTTATTTTATCTGCGTGCTCCGGTTGCCTCCCACGTGTAAACACTCATTGCTTGGCCGACAACATCTCGCCCCTGCCTCACCTGGTATACCCAGGAAGTCGTGGGATCGAGCCCGACCCTGACGCCTGCTGTATATTTGGAGTTTGCGTGTTCTCCCTGTGGTCGTGTGGATTTTTCTCCGGGTCCTCCGGGTTTTCCCTCTACATTTAGAATCAACGTGCGTTTAGACTATTTGGCTGCTATACATTTCCACGCGATAAGCCACTTCATTGAGCTATCATGTGTGGCGAGGTCGCTCCTGAAAAAGAACTGTATAGCTCAGTGGGGCGTAACCTGGTAGACTAAAAAAAAAGTTTAGTTTTTAGTTGAATATATAGAGGACCGCAGAGCTTGGGCATTAGCAGGCGCCGGCTCATCACACGACTGCCTTCCAGCTTGTCTGTGGTCCCTCCTCACGCCTCTTGAGTCGTTTTCTGTCTTCGAGAGTACGTGTGTATGTTGAACTTCTTTCGCGCCGTACGTAGTCAACCGTGCAGAGGTGCGGGGGAAGGACGACAACCTATACACAAAAAGCAGCAAAAGGAAATGAGTTTTCAATCGAGATTATTGAAAAGTGCATTGCTCCGGTGGCTTCCTAATATCGGAAGGAAGAGCGTTCCAGACGGCCGCAGAAGCGCATCTGAAAGCTCGCGATGCGGTGATCGTGGGCGAATACTGTGCGTGTTACAAGTTGAATTCATTTTTTTTAATGCTCAACGCATTCGTCATTACATTGTGGGCTGAAAATTATAAATAAACAAGAGGAAATGACCCCTATTCATAGCCAATCTCTCTGGCCTATCTATTCACGTGCAATGCAACACTGCCCTTGCAGTGTCACCAACTGATTTCCCACAGGATGTTCCGTCCGTGAGATTCCTACGTGACAGGTGTGGCTATCGCCTGCAGCACGCAACGTTGTTCACGGCACCGCTGAACGAAGGCCCTCCCCACGCCCCACCATCCTGCGACAACGATCCATCCAGCACCTACACCACAACCCACTGTCATTGATCCATCTCCTCTGTGGAGGGTCATACACCGCCGGTGCGTTCCCTTCCTTGGCTGCCACTCCCTACTCGCTCTTCTCGTCGGCGGGGTTAAGGAGTTCACTTCGCTAAGACTGAGACGGCCGAATCGCTTCCCTGGCAAGCGGCACAGAACCGTGCTCACGCTCTGCCGAGCGATGGAGGAGGCAGGAGGCCACACGGTCACTCAGATGACGGCTCATGCCCAGCGATGAATCGGCGACGAACTGCGCCGCATGGCATCGTCGGCCATGAGAGCTGAGTCTTCCATTCCCTGCAAACTGCCTCAGTGTCAAGCCCGCGAGACCACTTGGTGACCCGGCCAGGCGAAGTGACCGTCACTCTCCTGCAACTCGACGTGCTGCTGCTACTGAGCACAGCAGTGCCCCTTTGAGTGGGTTGGTGGTCTGTGGGCACGAGGTGTTTGTTGTACCCTGCACCCATACGTGTGCATTGTGTAACTTGTACACACGTGTGCGTCGCCATGTGCTCGTGTGCACAGCTTTGCGCTTGTGTCGCTTTAAGATGTTTTTCTTGTTCATGTTTTTTGTTTGTTGCGGTTGCACCCGATTCAAGAGCCGAATGGCTCACAGGGCTATACCTAATAAATACACTGAAAACTGAAACTGAAAATACTGCTGCACGTTCCTTCGCCGCGGCGCGACTAATTAAGTCTGGCGGGTGTGAAAGTGGCGCTGCGCCGGGCTCGCATTAGCGGTGCGGTGTTGGGACCTGCCTGCTGCGGCTCGTCTTCTTCTTCTTCTGCTGCTGCTGGGCTAGCTCGCTCCCCCCACACGCGCACCCAGGCGAGGCTGGGAACGGGTCCCTCCCGCGTTCCGTGGAATCGGGGAGAATGAAATCCCCACGATCGAGTCGCCAAATCTCTCCTCGCAGACCCTGGGGGAGCGGTCGTGGCGAAATTATTTTGGAGGAACCGAGGGCAAAATGCCAGGGTCAGGTCCCCTCCCCCCTTCCTCCTCCTCTGAGGGGCCCCCACAACTCTTCCTGAGCCCCCCCCCCCCCTTATATCTGAGGCTCAGAGCAGGTTGGTCCACCTGCCCCCCTCTTTATACGGCCCATGTCCTCTGGTGCAGTGATTCTTCTTGACCTGGGGTGCAACGCTGCGCCCCCTGGGGAGTGCGAGATGACCTTTCTGGGGGGGGTGCGAGACATGGCCAGATTCTTTTTGAAGATAAATAATCACACAAAGCAAGCACGGGCACGTAAGTACAAACTACTTTGTTTCATCAAACCAAAGTATGTATTTAACATTTATATTTTTTTACGATTGACAACTCAAGGGGTGCCAGGCTGCAGTAAAGTTAATGCCCCACTGCTCTCGTTACTTTGAGCGAGAGGGAGATCGAGAAACTTCCCATGGTGCGCGATTCTGACATTTACCGCGTTTTTCACATTAATAATAATAATTTTGAAATATGCAATGTATTTTTTTTGTAGATATAAATAAAATACCAATTTTAGGGTCTCATGGGGAGGGCGAGGGAAGGGTGGAGGTAGGGGGGGGGGGGATCAGCCCCAATCACCCTCTCCTTTGAGATAGAGTTGGTGTATCACACACAGCTGGAGATAGTCATATGCATTTGCAAACTAAAATAACTTGGATTTATATAGCATTTAAATCTAACCGCATTTAAAAACTTCCGTCCAGAAACAGGAAGCATACAGTATCTATT